ACTGAATTTCCTAGGTCTAGCGTAACCTTAGTTTTATAATTGTTTCTATATATATCCCCTACGAGATAGGTACGTATAATAGCTAGTACAATGTCGATAGTCTTACGCCGTACGAGGCTAACAGTTAGTGCGGCGCTTACTCTTTTTTCGAAGGTTAGCCTATAGGGGTAGCGTTAGCCGCTAAGAGGTGCTTTCGGTGTTTAGCGGAAGTACGATTAATTCGGGCCTAGTCCTTAGGTTTGTCGCATTAGCCTAGTAGATAGCTAGTACTGTTATAATTGAAGCACTTTAATCCGGTTAGTAGACTACCGTAGCTATTATTATTATTAGTAGAGCGGTTAGCATTATAGGGATACGAGCCCCTTCTACGGCCCCTATCGCGGCCTCCTCTATATAGCCGCCGGCTACGGCCTCTTCTACGGTCGTTGTTACTGTTCCTACTATTAGCATTGTTGTCCTAGTAGGAACCTTAGTTTCCTCCGCGGCTACGGTTACTACGGTTAGTGCTAGTTAGTCGGATCCTTAATTCTAGTCGTTATTAGAGCTAAATAGCCCGTTCGGCTGTTTCTACTTCGACTATGAATTGAATGCGTATTAGATTAGCTTGTTCGAACATACGGCGACGGTCTAATTCGAGGATAAGCTCCTATCTAAGTTTTAGGCGTATCTCGGAGATCTATATAGAATTAGTCTTAGGCGGAAGGTCGTTTTTAAGGGTTTTTAAATAGGCCTCGAATAAGCGAGCCGATTGATTAGTCTTCTATTTAGCTCGAAGATATAGGTCCTAAGTATATTGTTGCCTTAGTATAGGGTTTCTAAGGGTATCTAGTATAATAGTTTTGTAGGTCTGCTACTAAACAGCGGTCTAATCGTTAAGGGAGTCAAAATGGTTATCCTATATACGCTTTAGGTCGCTATTAATGTACTGTATAGCGTATACGACTAAGGAATAGTCGTCTAGTAGCGCTCTTAGTGCGTTGCGCTAGTTAAGTTTATAGTTACGAATATAGTCGTTATACTGCTTCCGACTAGAGCTATTAAATACGGTATAGTCCTTAAGTTTAGCATCCTTCTTTTAGATAGGTAGTAAAGAAGGTCCTGCTATTAGCTTAGTAGTAGTTGTTAGAGATTCCTAGAGGCGGCGAATCTCGAGAAGATTATCCTTTAGCGGTTGTTCTTAACGTAAGGCAGTAAGCCTGTTTTAGGTAGCTTCTTAAAGCCTCGCTACTAGCTAGGGGCTAAAGGCTAGTTAGCTATATCGACGGTTAATAATATTATTAAGAATGTCGTCGACAGGCAATTCTAAGTCGTTACCTAGAATTATAGGTTCTTCTTTAGTAGGTCCTATAGTAGGCTCTTCGGTAGGAGGCACTTTAGCAGGTGCTTTAGTAGGCACTTTAGTAGGTACTATACTACTAGCGTTGTTATTGCTAGCGCTGCTAGCGGCAGCACGGTTGTTGTTACTTCGTAATAAGCCGGCTATTATAATAGAGGGTAACACTAATAATGTATTATTAGCCCCTAAGATGCGGATATAGCGGAATTAGTAGATATTAGTCTAGTATAATTAACTTAGTGTAATAGGCCGTATAGAAGGCCTTGCTTAATAATTAGTACGGTTGTTTCGATAGAATAGTGCGTATAGGTCCCGTTCTTCGGGCGTAATATAGTTAGATTAGTCTTATTTGTAGCTATACCGCTAAAAGCTTGAAATAAGGACTATCTAGCTACTGCCCTTAAAGGCTAGATCGAATACTATATAAGAAGGGTATATTAGCAGGTAGATAGGGTAGTAGTAGGTACGAGTAGTATTCGATAAGGAGCTAGGAGGAGAGGGAGGAAGGCAGGCAAGTTAGCCTATTACTAAGCGCCAAGCCCTGCCTAAGGCACTAAGACCCTAGCTTTACTTAGCCTAGTTACATGCTAATCACGTATAGCCTCTTCGGCCCTAACATTAATTAAGACCGTAGAAACACTGTCTTAGAAGGGTAGTAATATAGCTTACCTATTAAAGCTAGGCAAGCTATTAGCTCGAATAGAGTTAGTTATCTTCTAGCAAATAAACAATATAAAGTATGCCTATAAGAAGGGCAATATTACTAACTTCTATCGGCTTATTAGAGGTCGTACAAATGCGTAGGCTCGTGCTAATAGTAAGAAGGAGTTTAGTAGTAATTCTAGCTTCCGGTAGAGCTATAACGTAAAGTTAGTTAAGAGGGTAAAGGAATAGGCCGCTAAAGAGCGCTCTACTAGTATAGTACCTAGTAACAATAACCTCTCGTAAGCGAAGGACTTCTTTATTAAACACGCCCTATATATAAACTCTTAGCTCTTCGATAAGGTAGCGATAAAGGAATAGAAGGAGGCGGCTCGGCGTAAGGAGGTCGTTGTCCGCGATAGTCTAATAGATAGGTTAGGCTCAAAGCGACGTCGATTAAATAATAGCTCTTCTTAGGCGACCTCTACTAAACTAGAAGAATCTCCTACGCCTTCTATACCGTCGACGACTTAGCGTATGCGACTACGCCGCTATAAGCGTAATAATAACGCCTCGATTAATAGAGCGTTCTCGAAACTAAACGAATTACTAAAACCGCACTTCGAGAAGGTAGGCGTTATTATTATTATTATTATTATTATAGCTAAGAAGCTAACTTCGAGAAGATTAAGGAAGGCCTAACTGCCCTTAATTAGTACTATATTCGAGGCCTAACTAATAGTTAGAAGAACGAATTACAGCACCTTAATGCTACTATTATAAGTGCTATTATCTCTCTTTTAACTAGCAACTTACTAATATTAGCTAGACGGTAATAGGTATATATCCGGATTGCACTTAAGTGCTATTATAGGTTATCTACCGTAGGAAGAGCAAGATACTAATACTAGAGCTATTCGAGCGCTTACCGAAACTAGGCTTCTTATAGCAGATAGGGTAGTTAGATCGCTACGATTAAGATTAGAATATAGACGATATTAAGGTCTCCGAGGACTTTTTCGACTTAGAGAAGTAGATAGTAGTTGTTATAGTATAGAGTTCGTTTTGTAGGATTAGTTAAAGCAAATCCCTACTTATTTGTTAGCAATATTGCTCTTTAGTATCGATTTAGCGAACTAGTTGCTCCTACCGTTGCCTTGTTATTCTCTTAATCGCAAGATTATCGCTAGAAATTTAGGAAATAGGAGGAGGGGTAGAGTTAGTAGTATATAACTATTACTTAGTAATAGGTTAATAACATCGCCGAGATATTACGAGAATCGCGTATAGACGCTCTAGTTACCTATTTTCGCTGCTTTCTAGATATATACTAATAGCTCGAAATGTACTCGCTCCTATAGTACGAGTACTAAGAATACCGTTAGAATTATAAAGCTATACTTTAACTTCTCGACATTATCGTCGTTCTTCTATTACTATTACTACTACTATTACTATTACTACCCTCGTCTTCTATCGCCGGCGACGTATACCTATCTCCTTTATCGCCCTTATTATCTCGCTCTAGTCGCGGCGGTTACTATCCTAGCGGAAGAACCGTCGTAACGAGGGCTCTAATCTCGTTACTAATTTAAGCATTAGTCGCCCTCGAATAGAGGTATTCTTCTAATACTAGTAGATCTATGCGACCTATAGATACCTAGTTTCTATAATAGTAGGTATAGTAATTAGTAAAAAGAACGTACGCTCGATAGATAGACCTAATAGCCTATAAGTCCGCCCTCTACTTAACTAAGTTAATCTGCTATAGATTTAATATCTGTCCGAATATATGCTCTATAGTAACTCTTAAAGCCGATATCTCCTAGTCTATCTACCTCTATAGCGGTATACGAGGTTAACTATTCTAACCTTTAAAAGCAGATATAATACTATCCGCTACTACGTACGCTAAGTTACTATAAATAAATACCTTATCGTCTAATCCGTACCTATTAAATAACGCGTACTAAATCTACTAAATATTAGATTTAAACACTATTCGAGAATCCCTAAAAGAGCTAGGTTTAGGACTATATAATAACGATAGTAGACTATCTAGAGTAATAACTGCCTAGAATTTAATACTATATACTCTCTTATGTCCGCTATAGTACAACTTCTAGTTATACTTTAGCCTATAGTAGGGACGAAGGGTGCTATTAATAAATCTATATACTTTAGCAAGACTAACGTCTAGTTCTAATGCCTCTACGTACCTCTACAAATACTAAGGGGTTAACTAACGAGTGTCGAATAACAATCTATCGCTAAAGAAGTCGTCTAAACGCTTAAAAACAGTATTAAATATAATACTAATCTAGGTCGGCTCTCTACTAAAGTCGTACGCTAGTAACTACTAACTCGCACTACTTGCTAATCGCTATAGAAGCACTAATAAGGCTTCTTCCTTAGTAGGTTCTATATAGTATAGCTACTTAATCTAGTCTAACTTAAGTAGCCTTACTAACCTATATAGGTCCTACTTTTAGAAGCGAAATCTACGCTTATACTAATCGTTTGTTAGGTCTGCTAACCTTATCCTTTTAAGCCGATTATAATCGTCTAGATATAGGCTCCTTATTTAATCGCCTATATACGCCTCGTTAGTCTCGTCGTCTACGATAATATCGACTACTAACTTAAGATAGGCGCTAGCTACTTATCCGATAACTACCTAGTAGTCTAGTAACAATTGCCTTACTTAAGCGTCTATTTTAAGCCGACAATAACACTACTATATACTAACTAAGGTCTATATTAAAGAGCTAGGGTTATATTACTATAGATACGATAACTAAGCAGCTAAAAGGTAGCAAAAGGAGGTTGCTAAAGGCCTCGGAAGAGCCGTCTCAGATAGGCTTAGTTACTAACCCTAGTGAACACCACTAAATTCTGGCACTGGAGGTTGCTAAAGGTGTCTAATAGAGAAAGACATGAAACGTTGAGAGCTTTTGGTGTGTTGGAATGTGGGACATTTGTCACATGCCTGAGTGGATCGTAGAAGGTCTGAGAATGAGATAGCGGTTCGCTTCGGTCACTTCTTTTCATTCGCTAGCTAAGTATGCACAAGGAATGCAGGTATTGATTACGCATGCAATCAATTCAGACACCGCCGGGCTATGCAATGCCAAAGCAGAAAAACAACCGGGCGATATCATGCAGTCCTTCCATCCTCCATTTCCAAGCTCGCTGCCACCGCAGCTCATTGCAAACATTAAGTGTACATGACTCTGCCATGATTCATGCCCATGCCATCAAAGAACGTCAATCCGTTCTTGGCATTGTTCCGTTCTCCCAAATCATTGCAGTAAATGTTCATATGCACATTGAATTCGTGTAAATCGCACGTCTTTTCATGTCTATCGCCGTAGTGATAGCGTAAGGATCGTAAGAGCCTATCGAGGCGTCGTGTGTTGGAAATGAGTCGAGACCGTGTCCGTATGGCGGCATGCTTAGAGCATGACAACAGCCAAGACGCCGGCAGCAAGACCGAAAAGCTCAGCACGCATAGTTGGGAGGACGGCAGCGCCGGTGTATGGCTGAACGGTCGGAGTGGCGGTAGCGATCGCTGATCCGTTTGTGGGCGCTTGCACTTTAGGTAAAACATTAGAAATTGCGAAAGTGTGTGAATGGTTGTACCAACCTTGACCATCCTGCGAAAATGTCAGCGACTAGCAACACGAGAGCATGAGTAGGCAAAGAAACTTACGCTGATCTGCGTTACGGGGGAAACTGGTCTGGAAGTTGGAGCCTAGTGGGCGTTAGTGTCGTGTCTCAATTCTCCTTCGTCGAGCTCGCTCACTTGGATTTGACCATCCTGTGAAAACAAATTAGCACTCGTTTAAATATTATTCGCAAGAAACGTACTGTGATTTGTGTAACGGGCGCAACTGGGCTCGTGGCTTGTACTTGACCCTACTTGATGTTAGTGCTGGTCCACAAGTCATCTGCGCGCGCCGTGCTCACGTCGCTGATTTGCCCAACTGGCGATCCGGTAGTTGCTTGGATCCTGCGTTTATTGATCAGTACTGGGTCGACAATCAAGGGCTCGTCGACACTCACTGTCCATCCGGGATCTGATGTACGGGGGCGACTGGGGTTGCCGTGATCTGACCCTAAAAGGATGTCAGTTGGAGTCCACGTATCCCTGGAGTGCACCTTCTTACGTCTGGGAGTTCGCTGGCGGCAGTTGCCGGGGCGCTTCCGGTGGAAGAACCACCGTTGATGATCTCAATGTAGACTGGGCTGCATTGAGCAGAGGTGGCCTCGTCGTACAGGTTGTAGAAGGTACCGCTGAGGCACTGAGCGAAGACAGCGTCGCCACCAATAGCAAGAGTGTTGTTGGCACAGGCAGACCAGCCGGCGGTGTAGATGGCACCAGTCTGGGCTGGCTTGTCGAACTGGAACTGACGGTTGGCAGCGATGTATCCAGTGCGACCGTCCTGGTCCTTCAGGATACCGCCGGCGAGAGTCAGGTAGAGAGCACCAGAAGCTCGCTGTATCAAATGTTAGGAATCCGAGCATGTGACTGCCAAGACATTGGATCGCGACTCACCTTCTCAACATCACGCTTCCCAGTGCTAGTAACGTTGACGACCTGGATCTGGAAGGTGCCGGAGTAGTCTGGCTTGCATCCTGCTGGGGAAGAGGTCGACGGGGAGATGGCCGCTGTCACGCCCTGTGGCGTTGGGTTGGCAGCAGCGAGGGCCGCGAGGGCGACTGGGGCGATGGAGTAACGCATAGTGGCTGAGTGATTGCTTTTGTATTAATGCTTCTGGTATTAGGTAGGTACAGTGAAGCGTAAACCAAGCGGACAGCGAGTGTTGGTCCTGGCGAAGGGTGGTGGTCGGTTGACGGAGCGAGAGTAGCAGTTTAGGTGGTGAGAGTAGACTGCGTCGCGGATTCAGAGCTGATATGCAACCGGTGGTGATTGTGGATTGTTGTGAAAGGAAACGGAGACTGGAATGTAGCAGGTATTTAACGCAATGCACCAAGCGGGTCCGAGCAACGGTGGTGAATGCATGGGCAGTAGGGAGGCTGGTGCGCTAAGACGGCAAGGAACGGTAGACTGTGGTGTCCGAGCAACAACTCACGCTCCGGCCGACTCCTCTTACGCTTTCTTAGCACACAATGTGTTTCACTAGTGCAGAATGCAGAATGTTCGCCATGTGTGGCTGGCGGGCAGTGGCAACAATCATAATAATGTGACCTGCGAGCGTCGAAAGCGGAGGCATTCGCGAACGTGGAATTCTCAGTGCCGCTGCAGAGGAGCTCCATCCAATTGCCGCTCACGCTCACGACGGCCCTGTCGCCCGCTAACGGACGCCTGGCTGCTTGCGTTGCCTGTCCCAGCGTCTCATGCCTGCGCTCACCCTTTCGTACCTTTCGCCGTAGATCTCGTTCATCACGGAGCGCCGGCAGCATCGCCCCCAGTCGCACACCACCACCCTTTTGTGCACTCGGCGCCAGGCACACGATATTGCCGCGCGCATCACCATTCAAACGCCGCCACATCCACCTCCTCGCCCTCGCCCTCGCCCTCGCCCTCGCCCTCGCCCTCGCCCTCGCCCCCACTTCTGGTATACCGATGCTCACTCACTCTGGTTGTTGAGCGCAACGGTCCTTGATGAGGTCATGGACAAGGCGCCCGACCGAGTGCAAAGCGGCACAACGTTCGATGGCAGCTGCACAAGGTTCATGTGCGGTGGCTAGGTGCATATGCCGCTCTGTGTGCAACGCCAAATCGAGTGGCCGGAGCTCTCCAACACCTTCCCAAGGTTCCCATAATAACAAACCCCCGTCCTTGTCGAGTCTGGAAACAACAGCTTCAACTTCCCACATGCCGTCCCTGCCTTTTTCACTGCTCCACGACTCCACGAGGAGGTGACCTTGGAGCAGGATCAAGCTCTGCCGTAGTGTGGACGGAATGTCAGCGATTCAGCGGGCACTTATAGCGTCGATCTCTCGTTCACACTTCCTCGTCGCCGCCACAACGGCCCGGATTATCGACAACGAAGCCAACGAGAAGCCGTGCTGTTTCAACCGTCCTGCCGCTGTGGACAGACCACTTCTCCAAGGCCATGACACCATGTCATCAACGCTTGGACAGATTTACTCTTGACAGAGGATCTTGGCAATAGCGATCTGAAGACTGAACTTCCACCTTTCACATTATCATCCATATCTTCTTTGTTCTCAAATAGCGCGGCCCTGCTTTGGCATTGCACAGGCAATAGACACTGATTCAGGCAGTCCTGCCAAAGTCCATTGACATTCCCTGTCAGTGCCCAAGCTTAAGCTTTGATGTGGCGACGCGGCTCAACAAGGATCACCATCCTAGGTGGAGAGAACATTTTATTCGGGCGACTCGTTGGCAGAGCAGCGTGAGCAACGCCCTCTTGTTGGCTGGGTTGCTACGTACTGTACAGTATTCATGGTACCTGCAGCAATCTAGCGAGTCCACGTCTACTACTGCGAGCCTACAACCACATCTGGTAATTCTCTCTCGTATTCAGTAATATCGCGCATGTGTATTAGCTCACAAGCCAACTGCCACACCCCGGAGTCGTTGCAACTTGCAACTACCTACCTACCCTCGTTCGTCAGCGTCCGCGTGGAATTATCTTCCGGGGAGATGGAACCTAATAATAATATGAAGAAGAAGATCGCGTGCTGCGCTCGTCGGATCGCGCAAAACTTCCTGCTGTTCAACACGCGCCAAGGCATTCCGGGCTGCTGTACTTTACCGACACCTCGACATCGGTAGATGGTGCATTTATCGCACAGATGTTCCCACTACATACATACTGCTTGTACAGTGGCGGCCTTGAACAATATACCGAACTTCATTGGACGCTGAACGTGAGAAATTCGGTAAATCTGACTTTTAAATTAATTCTACAGGACCTTGCATATGGACACACGCTGCTAATGTAACAAATTGGTCAAGCACAATCACAGCTTGGAAAAGTCATTCGCTTGTCAAAGTCATGCTCCGTACAAAATGCTCATGCCACAATCGGGACTGAGACGCTCAGCCAAGTCAGTGTAGCCCAGCTGCACGACTTTGAATGTATGAAAAGAAACCATAGCAACCCCATACGCAGAAGGCATTTCATCAAAAGCGCTCAAAACTCCCTTGCGCCTTCGCTTAAATTAAAGATGCTGGATGCTGCATGCAGAATTGGGAAATCGTTAAATCATGGCGTTGTGCGACCTTTGACCATATAGCTGGGTCGAGATCTGAAACGCTTCGTAGCACAAGAAGGCGCCTATGGTGTCCACGAGAGAAGAAGGGTCTGCGGCACTTGCTCGAAACCCTGTGGATATCGTGAAGCTTTTTACTGTCCAACAGCGCCAGCCTGATGAGGGATGGTGAGCACGCTGTCCTTGCCTATTTTGCCAACAGTCTTGATATTGCCATAGGCATCCACAATAGGATATCGCGCTCGAAGCTCCAGATCGTCGAGATCCATGTGGCTGCGAATGTACTTGTCTCGGCTGTCATCTGGAACGAAATAATCCCAGCTGGTCCATTTGCCTTGCTTAAGAGCTGAGAAGCAGAAGCGCCGCTGGCGTTGTCGCTTCACAACGTCGTCAGTGATGGCTTTCATATCCCATTTCGCCTTTGCCTCGGCGACGAACGCTTCGTAGATCTTCTTGGTCTCTGCATCGTCGGAGGTGGCGAGGTTCGTGAGCTCGTCTGGGTCATTTGCAAGGTTGTACAACTGGTCCGGATCTGCAGGGCAGACGATGTACTTCCATGGACCGCGACGAATCATCATCATCGGTGCGATTGTGCCTTCTCCCATATACTCTGCGAAGACATTGTCATGCTGCGATCTGCCCAGCAAATGCGGCACAATCGAAACGCCATCAATGGGGAGACCGGGCACAAGCTTCGAGCCAACGATGTCGACGAGTGTCGGAAGAATGTCCAAAGTGCTCACGCTCTGTGGCACGCGGTGTGGAGCCCACATCTTTGGGTAGCTGAAAAGCATGGGCACTCGAACCGAGGACTCGAAATACGACATTTTGTACCAGAGCCCACGTTCGCCGAGCATGTCGCCATGGTCGCCTGAGAAGATGACGATCGTATTTTCATCAAGGCCGCATTGCTTTAGGGTCTCCATGAGCTTTCCGATATTGTCGTCGACATAGCTGACAGCTCCATAATATGCCCGCTTGGCTTTCTTGATCTGCTCTGGCGTGAAGTCATAATCTTCGAGATCGCAAACGTGTTGAAGACGCTTGCTATGGGGATCGAGTTGATCCCTGGGCAACTGGACCTTTGGCATATCGATCTCAACGTCCTCATACATGTCCCAGTACTTGTGCTCGATTGTGTAGGGATCATGAGGATGAGTGAGAGAGACAGTCAAGCAGAAGGGTCTGCTGCCCGGTGGCTTGCGAACATGGTCGTACAAGAACTGCTTGGCCTTGTACATGACCTCCTCGTCGTAATCCAGTTGGTTGCTTCGAACACATGGCCCAGCCTGGAGGATGGAGGAGCTGTTGTGATACCACTCCAAACGTGTCCCGGGCTCGTCCCAGTTGACGGACCAGCCAAGGTCTGCCGGGTAGATATCAGCTGTCAGGCGATATTCGTAGCCGTGGAGCTGGTCCCCGATGAAGTGCATCTTGCCACCCAGGACGCATTCGTAGCCCTCAGCGCGCAAAAAGTGGGCATATGTCGGAGTGTCCTCTGGAATGGGGGAGGCGTTGTCGTAAGCACCAATCTTTGAAGGCAGCTGACCAGTGATCATGGCCATGCGGGAAGGAGCGCAGAGTGGCGAATTGCAGTATGCAGAGTCGAAGACGACTGAGCGCTCGGCCAGCTTGTCGATATTGGGAGTCTTGATTTGGGAGTTCTCGTTGTAGATCTTGAGTTGAGGAGCAGCTAGCTGGTCTGCCATGATGTAGAGGATATTGGGCCTCTGTGGCAAGAGAGGCGTGCTGAAGCCATTCTGCCCCTGAAAGCCCGTAGGCGGGGACACTGGAGGCGTGTCTGGCAGCTTGCGAACACGCTGTACGGGATCCATTGCGTTTCGCGGACTCGACTCGATGGCTGATGTTTGGGAGATCAGTACAGTGAGATACAGGGGGCAGGAGAATGTGCAGTGGAGCGCAGAAGGAGGGAAAGTTCAGTGGAAAGAGCCACGAGAGTGTGGCAGACGAAAGATGTGCAGACTGCCGGAGCTTATGGCGTGATCAAGACGATCAAGCACGAGACCAGTTAATAATAAGCGTTTAAGATGGCGAGGATGGCTTTGTGTTTCTCCACGATTTGCCCAGTGCTCTGCGGAGGGAGCTCAGCCTTGCGCTCCACACATATGCGTCTAGCACGTCACTGTCTTGACGCATCGTTGCAAATTTCGAACTCAATTCTGGATCGGTGACGATGTAGGTCGAGTGGAAAAGTTGTAGATTTCTATGGTGCCGTTGGCGAGAGGCAGCAGCTGTCGCACAAACATCATTTCGGGTGGCTTACGCGAGGACACGCGACAGCCCAAACTCTTCGGCGTGCAACGCAGCTTCCCTTGTAGATGATCGATCAGCACGCAGAACAACTCGCGACGCCACCCGACGAGCCTCACCGCAACTGGCACCTGCCCCCGCCGCCGCCGATAACAGGAACATCATCGCAGGCGCGCCCGACATGGCTCACCAAAGCGCCTGCGAGCGACTGCCGCCAGGTGCAGGCGCATACGCCCTCAGCGCGGCCGTCATTGCCTTCTCGCTGGGCTATCTCGCCGGACAAGGACGGGCCATCGGCTTGTTCGGCGGGTCGGCTGCTCGCAACACGGCCACCGCACGCGCGCACGACGACGACGACGACGACCATTCTTCACACGTAAGCGCATCGTCTTCTGATGACGAGGCGTCCTTCGCGCGCACCACAGAAGAATGCAAGCTGGTCCTGCTTGTGCGGAGCGATCTTGGCATGACCAAGGGTAGGTCTGCTGGCGTCCGATTAGTCTTTGCCACTGCATATCCAAAGCTGCTCTCATTCGATCGCGACTCCTGCACCGCATTCGATGCCCTTCACGGGAAGGCTGACACCTCGGTAGGGAAGATAGCAGCACAATGCGGTCACGCGACACTGGTGAGTACGCTGGACTCCCTCCCCAAGCAACATCCTCAGCTCACGTACCCATCACACAGGCATGCTATAAAACCTTCTCACAAGCAGATCCAAACCACCCCCTCCTGAAGCAGTGGGAATCTCTGGGCCAAGCCAAGGTAGGTGCCTGGCCTGCACACACAAGGCCTGGCCACGTCCACGTTCATCTTGCGTGCCTACAGCTAACCCACTGTTCAGGTGGCTTTGAAGGTCGATAGCGAAGATGAAATGCTTATGCTTCACGCTCAAGCAGTGAGTCTGGGCCTCTGCGCAAAGGTCATTCACGACGCAGGTCGTACACAGATCGCGAGCGGATCTGCCACAGTCCTGGGCATTGGTCCTGCGCCAAAGAGCAAGATTGACCAAGTCACCGGCCATCTGAAGCTCTTGTGAAGGCATAGCTTGGCTCAAGATCAGAGGGCAGAGAGTTGCCAATAATCACATCAGTCATCTCGCCTGTTGGAGATGAGCTGCGTTGGCCACGGAGAATCGGCCGCGTAGCGAAGGACAGGTCGCGGATGAGAAATCTATCATCTGCAGCTCTATGATCTCCTCGGTCGCTAGCTGCAGCCACTATGCGACCGCAAATTCTCCCGTGCATAGATAGCATAAGCTGTGATCAAGCAATTCAATGCTCTTTCATCATATCAGTGCACTATATCAACCGATCAATGGCTTCCGATCAAAGTCACCAGACTTATCCTGACGAGGCATGACTTGAATTTGAGCAGAACGCAACATCATCAACAAAAGTAGTCCTCCCACATCTGCGCTTTATCGCAGACTATGCATATCGTCTTATCTGTCTCACGTGCAAGAGGTGTTGAAACAGCACCAACAATCCCCGCGCAAGAGGGTCAAACGTCCGGCCTAGCAGTCCTTCAAACGCCAAGCTAATACAAATCACCAGGACGTGGGCTGATGAGAGACCCTAGACCCTGACTCCTCCGACAACCTGTAATACCTGTAATAAGCTCCAACCTTGAGCGACGTCTACCACGCGAGCGTGGGTGACGCGATCAGCGATATTCGGGAATCGGGACTAGTACCGATAATCGAGATTGAAGCAAGAAAAAAAAATCTCCGATGACACAGAACAGAATCGGCATTGTGAGGATTTTTTTTTGCACAAAAGTTTCTCGGCGGTAGAGGATCGATTGCATTTGACGTCTGATGATGATGATGATGAGAAATAGCTTGCTAAGACATCCCTTGCTGTTGATGAGTGATTGTCATCGTGTCGCAAGTGCTTTTTATTACATTTCGCAAGCTAGGCTAGGGGGAAAAGAAATAAGTTTTCGGTATATAACCTTGATAATAATACGTCGCAAAATTTGAGTTCATTAATAATCCGTCTTATTAGTTATTAATCAATCAACGGAATCCTATTATCGCTATCTCTTTATTACGAGGAACTTTTGACTCTTAAGCAACAAGGACCCCGACTCATGAGGTGAGAAAAAAAATTAGAAATTATAGATTAGGGGACGGTAGTTTGGACTTGTTAGTTGTGAAGACCGGTCCAGAATTTCGGCAGATGACTAGCGGACTAAAAAGACCGGAGTTTCTGACGTGTGGTGACCGCTAGACTCAGGAGGCCCGGAGTAGTGGCAGCATCCGCGCACGGGTTTGTGTCTCGGTAGTGATGATTACAGAAACAGCAGAAACGATAGTACATGCCGTAGGATCGATGGTAAGAAGATACCGATGATAGAAAATGATGCTTTCGGGTATCTGCTAACAAAACAGATCTACGTAGTGGGGGGGGGGGGGATTCTATGTATGTGCTAAACCAAACAGACGCCATCTGTGAGTGAGGTCCACCGGTATATCCCATTGCTATATGTCATTGATCGTAGCCATCATTGAATTCGTGTCGGCGGCGGCGGCACAGCTCGCGCTCTTCCGGGGGGTGGTTGATTGATTTGAACAGCTTCCAAGGTCTGCCAGGAACAGACCCACAAACAAAGTCTCCAGACCACTTTTTGGGTACATTTCCCCAAAAAAGGCGGATAAAGTAGTATATCAACATGAAGAAGCATGTCCACAAGATTTGTCGCCGGGCCTAACGCGAGAGAGTGAGGCGTTCGGCCAGCGAGGAGAGAAGCGAGAAAAAAAAAGGTTGTCCATGAAGCTGCTGCATCGATGTGCAGGAAGAAGGCGCGAAACTGCGCGGTTATTGTTGCTCGTGCTGGTGGCCGTGAGCGTGGTGCTCATGACGTCTGAACCGGTTCGGTGCTGGAGCTCCCCGGTTCTCGTAGGCTGTTACCACGGCGGTGACCCAGGCGGTCTCGACCTCGGTGATAGTGATGGCTCCTCCATCGTAAGTCTCCACCTGAGTTGTCAATGAGGCTGAAGTGGCGAGGGTTGTGGGCGTGGGTTGAGCGTCGTAGCCATGAGTCCAAGAGCCATATCCAAGTGGCGCAAGGGATGAGCTGGGGCTTGCAGTGTAGGCAACTGGGGTTGGAGCCGATGTCGAAGAGGAGTACGATGGTGCTGGAGAAGAGCCAGCGTCGGTGGAGTTGCCATGGTCAGCGGAAATACCGGTGCAGAGAGTGACAGTAATGTCAGCGCTGGACTCGCAGGACTGCATTCCGTATGCATCATCTGTGGCATATCGGTAGGCTTGCTGCTTGGGGCTGCAGTCTGCGCCGGAGGCGGTGATCTGCCAGTCCTTGTCCCATGGGTTGCCGTTGACACAGCTGAGGTCGTACCAGATGATACCGTCGTTGTGGAAGGTGTACTCGTACTGGAGGATGTTCTCCAGAGACGCCGACTTGGAAAGCTTGATGGACCAGCCGTTGCCGTTGGAAAGCTCAGTCCAGGGTTGGGTCCAAGACTCTCCGGCAGCAAGTGTCTTGTCCTCCTGATTATACCCACCTCCAGAAGACGGGACGTTGCAGAGTGTGACTTCATAGTCGCATTTGTTTACCTGTCTTGACATCAGTACAATTGCCATCATATACGGAGGATGAAGCCCACAAGCCGGATGGCATTTCAACTTACAACGTACGCGCTGCCAACTGAAGAGGCCATAGCGGAGCCCGCCAAAGTGAGCGACGCGAGGACAAAGTTTATCATACTTGCAGTATGATGGTCGTTTGGTCTGAGCGATAGATGTTGTTTTCGTTGATGTCGTCAAGGATTCGTGGTAACAGAGGTTATTCAATGTTATGCGCCTGGTCCAAGAGAGTGGTAGACGGCCTATCTGTCCAAAGAATGAATGCTGGCAGTAGAGAGAGTGATACTGCACAGAGTGGTACTGCACAGCAGTAGGTGAGCAGCAACACAGTGCGCGTCGGTGGTGATGGTAGTCTAGTCTGATAGAGATCGTTGGCAAGGAAAGGGGATGGATGAGTGCGCGTCTCTGCGACTGCTTTAATCCGAAGGGCGGATCGTCCGTCCCCACTACTACTGCGCAAAAGCTCCATCGACGGCACAAAACGAGTCTGCCCCTAGATGCGTGGGCTGGCATGGTTCCGCGATCGAATGAAAGGCCAGCCCTATGCATGGGGTTCCAGGGTGCAAGCTTGCTTGCCTGTCACTGAAATCCGATGCCGATGCCCACGATTCGTTGGAAGTTCAGCGGCTCATGCTCGTTCCTGAAGATTCATCCTTCGGCAGGGAAGAGCAAAAGGTTGAACTTGCGCGCCACTGCACACTACTTCGCGCGGCGTTCCCATTCACATTTGTATTCAACTCCCGATGAAGTCTCCACTCGCGATGAACGCCTTTTCACAAGGCTTGCAGCGTGGCCGCCCACGCCGCCCGGCGCCTGTTCAGACATCAGACTGGTCCTGTCGCCCTCCAGACAAGATTTGCGCCAAAGCAGTCGTGCATTTCCAAATGTCTGGACGCGGAGACAACGGCGCAGCGAGGCGCTCCTCGAGTCTTTACTGACTGTGTGGAGGCGACGTCCCGCATTAGAATATCGAGCACGCGACTGCCGTTGAGAACACCGCCCCGCATTGTGTACGTCAGCCGGCGACCACAGTAACTGCTGTGTATGGCGAGCGTGGCAATCGGTGGTGGACATGTGAAGTGTGCTCAGCGTTCAACAGCGGCAGGATGTTGGTGTAACTCGAGCGACCCACGATATTGGATATTCTGGCAGTCGATCTTATTGTTGGGAAAGCGTCCCGTTGTCGGCTGCAGAACAATGTTTCATGCGAATTCGTATGCGCCGACTCTCATGCAATAATGCGACAACCTTTGCCGCACTGCGCCCTGAAGATGATGTCTTGCAATCTGCAACAGACCGAGACTGGTGGCTTCGCGTGCTGGTATTCTTTTTCACGACATCCACCCGGTAGCTGTGCATCAGCATTTATCACCCGATTCGTGTGAGCTGCCAGGTAACTTGGCAGTGCAAGTGCTCATCGCTCTCACTTTCACACCGGACTTGAAGAGTACAACGGGAATGGCTATCAGTACAATGCTAACAAGAGCAAGTGCCGTGCTTGCGTATTCAACGCTCATGCCTTCAAACATGTGTCTTGCGAAAGCGCAGAACGACGCTGCAATCATTGAGCGAACGGAGGTGTTCACTGCAATGACTGCATTGAAATTCGATGGCGAATATACTTCGACGAGGTAGTTGTTACCTTGGAGGAAGACGAGAAGGATTCCAGCACCCAGGAACACGCCGGCGGCGATTTCATAGCCTGCTGAGATATGTCTAAACATCATTTAGTAACAGCTCTAGCTGGCTCGCACCACTTCGTGGCCCAACTTACCTTGCAGAGGTCCAACCAAATAGGAAAAGTCCGATAGGAAGAGCTGCGCTCCCAACCAAAAATGTCAGAAATAGATCCTCTGGACTATGGTACTTCTTTAGTCGTGGCGTATATCGATTCGCAAGGAAAAGAGAAGCAACGAGGGATCCGAGCAGGACACCACTGATAACCGCGATGAACGGTAGTCCGGCAGCGCTCGACGTCCAGCGACGTTCTGATTCGTAAGTGAAAGGGAAAATCTCGACGAGCAGGTACAACAACGCATATGCATAAGACACATATAGTGTGATGAAAAATAAAATCGGCTCGGTTAGAAGTAATGTCAACGGCCTGCAGATGTAATTCTCCGTGATTACAGCAAAGTTCATACCCGGGTCGTCGGCTGTTGCATGCAGTGCCTAGAGGAATGACAGGAATGATCAGCAGTTGTCCAAAGTATCGCAATTGCTTCTACTTTCCACTTTGCTTACCCAGTCTCCAGTGGAACGGCCCAGCTTCTTTGCTTTCTGCCGCAGGATGAAGCTGAACGAGGTCTCGGAACCAAACAACCAGCTGCAGAGTCCGAAGAAGGCGCCGCTTATCAGCACAACCCAGCTGGGCCATCTCCAGCCCAACGCTCTGTTCTGCACGATGTATCCGGAAAACAGGGCAGACACAGCTGGTCCAGCAATGATGCCAGTTGCCAGTAAACACATGGCCATGCTGCGCCGTGAAGGTTCCCAAATGTCCCACATGGCCGCGGGAACAGTAACGAGAACAGAACATCCGAAAAATCCAGCGAGCAGTCTACAAATGCAGACTGCAGCGAGGTTCTGTGCAACAGCGACAGGGATCTGGAGAAACAGGAACGTGATAAATCCAACGTGCATCGGCGCCCTTCGACCATAGCGATCGCTCATTGGAGTCCACACCACAGGCCCTATGGCGATACCGACCATATAAAGGGCGCGATCCAGGACCAGGACTTTGGCGGAAGTGTGAAAATGCGTCGCTGTCATTTGTGATGCTGAAACATCTGCTGTCGAAGCAAAGGCAATGCAAAAGACTAAGAGGCTGAAGACAAATGTCGACAGCCATTTCTTGCCTCCAGACCAGTTTGCTGTATTGGCAACATCGCAGGGATGGAGTGTCACGAGATGAGGGTCTCCACAGCTCTCGACCGACTCGTGAGGTTGTTCTGGGGCCACTGGAGGCGGTATGGAGTCGTCACGCTCATATGTTGGGATGGCCGTGCACTGTATGCTTAGGTGGCTATTTGGTAGCTTCTGCTGTGTTGGGCTAGTTGGCAGGCCTGGGAGCTCTGCTATTGGTAGAGAAAAGTCTCGCTGTAATGCTTTTTTGAGACCGGAGCTGTGGTGTTGCGATTCCACTGCAGGCGATAAGCCCTTGCGATGCTCTGTCAACGAAGTGATAGGTGGTATTTGATATGGATGCCTGCGGCTGGAACGCCTCAAAGAAGTTGTCTTCAAGCGTACCAAGCGGTCGAAAGCATCAGCTTGCAATGATCTTGCTGTCGGGGCTCTATCTCTTGCCTGGGGCCGAGATACAGATTTCAAAGTACCCAGTGTAGACTCATCTGTGCCGAATGTGTTGCTGCGTTGTCGAGAAGGGCTTTCGCAAGTCTCGAGGTTTGGGGATATCAATTCTTTTTCGAGATCAGACTCCGATGGAGGCGCACCTGGTCGCCCATTGAATGGCGAAGATTCCACAGGATAGGCGATGCCTTCGCGAAGACTGACGTGGGTACTTCCTGTGGAATGCTGGGACAGAGGTCTCCACAGGCTCGAAAGCCTCCAATTTGCACTACCGCTGCTCCCACTTTTGTGCTTCTCGGCCATGCTGTTTGCTGCATAGGTCAAACTTCGAATGTGCTTTGCTTCCAACAGTGCAGCACGGCAATGCTTCTGTACAGGCGAAAGATTGCCTGCCAGGTAAAAAGCACATGAACCAATACATATGGAACACGCCCTCACAAATGCTTACCGTTGATACAGACCATTGACGCCAGTGACGGCGTTTCACCACTAGCCTACTTTCCGCTTCGAAACCAAGGCTAGGAAGACGAAGCTGATACTGCGCTCGGAGAAGCTGACTAGATCGCGCGATTGTTCCAAAATCACGGCATTTCCGAACTGCGCCAACATTTGTGATCGCTCTTGCTCGCTGTTCTCCCGGCCGGGTTTGCCTACAATCTAGATGGAAGTTGACTGAACATTTGGGCTCCCCTGAAGAAGAATGGCACTCCATGTATGTTGCGAAGGAAGTCTCTCGAAAGTTGTGGATTTACTGCTGAATGATGCGCGACGCGGCTGGAATGGACAGATTAGAAGTTCGAATCCACGCCCCAGTGGCATTGCACGCCGGGGCGACTTTGGTGCCTGTTTCAACTTCCAGTCATGGAAGATGCTGGTATAAGTAAGTCGCCAAGCTATATGAGACAACCCCTGAATCGAAGTTGTCCTGAATTAGATACATGCTTGGATGCTGGTGCCGTTTCGGCCTCGATATGGGATGTCTTCAGAGCAGGTTCGCGCAGCAGACTGGATGGAGGTGTTCTGCTGTAATCATCTTGCTTGCTCCGACCTATATCAGAAGGTATGGTTCTCATCTCATCATACGTTGCAGAGGAATGGCGTTAATCAGATCAGTTTGAGCGAGCATTCAATGTGGTAAGTCAGTGACTCTTTCTTGGTGGTAAGGTTGGTAAGGTTGTGGAGACGAAAGGAAGCAAGCGAGAAAGTGCTTGCCCCTCGCCAAGCTGAACAAAGCGAGTGTTATTATTCGTGCGGCGCACATCGCTCTCACAACAGTCCTTTAGCGGGCAAATCTTCATCATCTGGCCAGTCTCTAGCCGATTCGAGAATGTCAGGAACTGTACACTGGTAATAGAGCTTGGGGCATATCTACCGCCGATTCAACATTGCGCCAGCTCGCTCAGTGCGATTATCCGACCAAGTGCTGGCGAACGCTGAAGCATGGACAGCCCGATCAATCGACTGGCCGCAACGCGCCATACCACACAACGCTGAGAACCTCGCCCATCTTCACGATAGCATTGATTCTCTTCCCTTCGTAAGCGAAACCTGCCTTCACGAGCGTCCGGATACTACCGAGATTTCCCTCGTTCGCTTCTGCATTGATCCTGATCAAGATGCCAAAAGTCTTCCAGGCCCAACGAACGAAGGCGGGCACAACAATGGACATGATTCCCTTGCCCCAGTACTCCTCGCCGATCCTACGGTGTGAAAACCACACGTCAGTATGTGGAAGACAAGAGAAGATATATGGACGCGGACGAACCAGTAGCCCAGCTCAGCTGTGCGGTGATATACGTCGTCTCCAAAATCTAGTCCAACCGAGCCGATTGCTTCTCCATTGATAGCTATGGCGTAGTTTGATGGCACCAAAGGGCCTTCTGCTCCAGCTTCAAGCGTGTAATTGCCCGCGCGAGCGTGGTTATCTGGATCTGCATTGAATGATATCCAGCTTTGGCTGGCCACCTCGTCATAAGGATGAGGCTACGTCCTCGTCAGTGACAGCGATAAAAGTCCTGGAGTAAGTACATTGACTGACGAAGCGATCACGCAGATTCAACCAGAGTTTCTTATTGTTCGCATGCTTGGGAATGCTTTGCACGTCGCTTGCACGATAGCGCCGAACCGTGATTCCATTTTCAAGCTCAAGAATGACATCGTTGAGTTTTTTGTTGTCCATGCTGTCGAGTGGGGAGCTAGAAAGGTGTCAGAAGGCAAAGACGTGGGCTTCTGCGGCTGAAATTAGTGCCAAAGCAGTATATATCGTATTCGCGTATGAAGAACCATCAATCCTTAGGACAGTATATCTGTAACTAGGTAAGTACTGCAGGAACTTGAATTGAAAAGTTTGTTTATTCGCATTCGTCTGATAGAAATCGGCGTTCCTTACCCACTTATAAGGCTGCGTTGAATGCTTTTCGCGGGTGAGAGCAAGTTGGCAATTTGATCCTGGAAAGCCTACTCGCCTTTGTGAGATCCAGAAGCAAGGAAAGAGTGTGAAATGGATTGAGGATTTTAAAAGAAGGGATTTTGCCGGTTTCAATGCGTTCATGGTCTGCTACGCGATGAAGATGAGTCTCTTCCGCGGTTGTGCGCCTTGGAGCTGGCTGGATTTGTTTCTGGCCTGACGGCGAAGCATGAGTACCTGGTCACAGCACAGGCTGACTGATTGCGAGTCGCTAAGTCTAAGATGCTAGTAGGTGTCCTCCAGCTCAGTTTGTGCGGCTTCGTATTTGGACAGACAGTAGCTATAAAGCTGGCAACTCTTTATGTCTCTACCACAGCATTATCACGCAGTCTGCGCCTGGCCTTCGTGCAGCAAGGGAAATTTACTCAGAGTGTATACTCCCTCTGTTGAAGGGAAGGTCACCTCCAGCTCCTCGTGAGGCCTCACGGCGGCGCTGATGGCAAAAGGTGAATGTAGGCAAGCTATGGTTTTACCCAGCTCCCATGGCCCGACGGGCTCGAGAACGTTTTGGAATATAGCGCCCGGGCAGTAGGTCGACTCGGAACTGACGAGCAATTCAACAAGCCTCCGCTACCACCCCCGTTGCTCTCAGATCTGTCGACCGGACGTGCTTCATCAAAGAATAAGAAGTTCCCATTGTCGTCGAACTGGGTAGAAATCAACCAACAGTGCCGCTTTCGCAGCACGCGGGACTTCAAGCCCACAGATCTTTGTGTGGGAAGAAGAAGAGAAGGACGAGGTCGCGTTGCAAATTTGATAGAGAGCAGCTTGGCGCTAGCGGGGGTGCCTGCCGCTGCACGAGTCAGCGAGCGACCAGCCCGCTTCTGGTTCCACGAACACTTTGGGTTGGCACTGCTGTTTGCAAACATCTCCTACATTCGCACTCTATTGCGACAACTTCCAAGATGGCTTCCGCAGCGGATATTGAGCAAATGAACAAAGTCCGGGTGTCGCTCGGCATGGCGCCGCTGCCTGTACCCGGACAAGGGCCACAGTTCAAGAACGGCGATGGTGATGCCAGCGAGAGCGAGAGCGAAGACGATATGAGTACGCTCGAGAAGCGCGCGGCGGCAGCTGGCAAGAATTGGGAGAAGCTCGAAGCGGAAAAGCGCGATAAGGAAGAGCGGCAGCGGCGGAAGGAGCAGACGAAGAGAGAACGAGACCGTGTTGCCAAATTTGCGAAATTGGAAGGTAAAGGTCTGGGTGAAGCAGATGATGAGAACGAACTGGATACTCGGACGTGGCTGTTACAGCAGAAGAAGCGCCAGAAGAAGATCGAAAAGACACGGAAGCTTGAGGAAGAGCTGGCGGAGCGCGAACGACTGGCGCAGGCCGAGTACACCTCCAAAGATCTGGCTGGCGTCAAAGTGGGACACGAGGCTGCAGAGTTCGATGAGTTCACCGGGGAACAGATCCTCACCCTCAAGGATCAAGACATCGGCGAAGACAGCGGGGACGATGAGCTGGAGAACCAGGAACTGAAGGCAAAGGAAAAGCTGGAAGAGAAGTTGAGGCTACAGAAAAAGCGGCCCGACTACGATCCAACCGAGCAAGGCGAAGTGCAAAATGTCCTTTCAAAATACGATGAAGAGATTGAAGGCAAGAAGCAAAAGAAGTTCACCCTCGATGGGCAGGGCAGCACCGTCGAGGCCAGTCGTCGTGCTGTGGATGATGAGAGCGTGGCCAAGGATAAGCGTATCAAGATCAGTCTAGACATCTTGAAGGAGGATGAGCCTATCTCGGATTACGTGGATCCCGCGACCATTAAAGTGAAAAGGCCCAAGAAGAGCAAGAAAGAGAAGAAGTCTCGGCAAAAGGCGGCTGATGACGACGATATCTTCCCAGTACTTCAGCCAGAAGTGGCTTCGACTTCGGACGAGATGCAAGTAGATAATACCGAGGCAATGGCCAGCAGGAAGCGTGATTTCGACTTCAATGATGACGACGACTTGCAAGCCAAACTGGCGGAGCAACGAAGGCAGGCTCTTAAAAAGCGCAAGAAGACCGACGCGGCCGTTCTAGCACGACAGCTGCGAGAAGAAATGCCGGTCGATGAAGCAGAGCCAGAAGAAGGAGGTCTGATCATCGATGAGACGTCAGAATTTGTTGCAAATCTCAAGCGGCCGGAAGAGGACGAGGAAGAAATGGCGAGGAGAGCAAGGAGAACTCAGACGCCAAATGCTGTATCGCCGGAGGTCAAAGATGAGGACGAAGATGGTGATACAAATATGCAATCATATGCCGAGGCGGAAGCGGCAGAAGAACGTGCACATCGTCGCAAGCGTGAGACATCGCACCCTGCCGAGCAAATGACGGCTACAGGCCTGGAAGCCGAAGAGAGTATGGTGGGACAAGGCATCGGTGCCTCGCTCGCTATGCTTCGCAAGCGCGGATTGATTGGCTCGTCGGAGTCTGCGGAAGAGCTGGCACAGAAGGAGCGTCAACGCGCCCAGTTTCTTGCAGACAAAGAAGACCTCATTCGAGACTTTGATAACAAGGCTCGAGAACAGCGTGAAGCGGACAGACGCAGTGGCAGATTTGACAATATGTCCAATCGCGAAAAAGATGCTCTTGGACGCCAGCACAACGAGCAGCGAGAGCAATTCATTTCCAGATTACTGGCCGACAAGTTCAACAAGGAATACAGGCCAGATGTCAAACTGAGATACAACGATGAATTTGGCCGTGAGATGAATCAGAAAGAAGCGTTCAAGCACCTCAGCCATATGTTTCACGGCAAGGGCTCCGGCAAGCAGAAGACGGAAAAGCGACTCAAAAAGATTGAGGATGAGAAGCGCAGCGCGGCCAAGGGCATTCTCAACGTTGGAGATCTTGAAGGTGGCTTTACGAATGTCCAAGGACGAGAAGGTAAACGTCAGAAAACGGCCGGTGTACGGCTTCAATAGCGAGTCAAGGTTAGTACGTGCCCACACCTGTGAGGAATGGAACAATATTCATGATTCATTACAGAGCACCAAGGCCCGTGGGATGGGACGTCGTATTGAACCGGTGAGTCATATTCCCAGTCTGTCCAATGTCGATTTTGACGTAAGGCCCATTTGTGCGATGGTGGTGGTGTTTGCTTGCTACTTTCGACACAGCAGCTGCCACATCCAACCGACTTGGGCTATTGAGGCATTTTGCAGCCCCTCTGTCTTGACTTCTGTCACTTCGTGCTCCTCATATTTGCGTGGAATGGGTCGTCCTTAAGGAGTGTGCCACCATTTCTTGATATCCCAAACAATACCTAGTAGTAGTACCTTATCATAACGTACTGCATGTGCGATGACGCGTGCGCTCCTCATAGACTAGACAGAACATCTGAGATCACACTCCTTCAAAGTTATCTCCATCACGAGCAATATTTGCACTCGATCAAATCCCAAAACGCGTGACTGTTTGTGCGGTGCGTAGAGGTGAAGCGTGTTGGAAAGGGCGACGCGTGAAGCGCGCACAGACCGGCATCTCGACCTCAAACAAACACGTGAACTAGACTTCGCCTGCTTCACCCACCCTCCGACACGATACCTCCTCTCCACCCACATCCCTTCAAGCAATTGCGTGCCATCTTCCAGATCAGCAAATATGGCCCCGGCATCCCATTCGGCGCCAATGTACAACAAGGATGAAAAAGTACTCTGCTTCCATGGCGAGCTGCTGTATGAGGCCAAGGTTTTAGAGACGAAGATGAAAGATCCAAGCGACAAAAATGCTGGCCACGTCTACCGAGTCCACTATAAAGGCTGGAAGAACACGTGAGTCTTATTATTCCTTTTTCTGGTCCACTGGAAATGCCTGCCCAGAGTCTGCGCCTGCTATCTCTTCACCAGAAATGTGACAGAGGAGTCAGGAGCCCGTCATATCTACATGGCGACATTTCGAGCGGTCGTATTTTCTTGATCCATCATCCTCTGCGATGACCAGATCAAAGTGCACTGTCGTTGACGTCTTTGACATCATGGCCGAATTCTTTGCCATGTGAACATGCTGACTGGGCGTGATTCTAGATGGGACGACTGGGTACCTCAAGAGCGTCTGCGCAAATTGACCGACGAGAATCGCGAGCTTGCGCAGAATCTCAAAAAAGACATGGACGCGCAGAGAAGAGCTGCATCTGGCCGGGCTCCGCCACCACCATCACACAAGAAGCGACCCTTCGGATCTGATCTTACTGGCTCAAGCGCGCGAGGAAGTGAGGACCGCTCATCAGCAGCACCTCAATTTCCGAGAGGCACGAAGCGAAGTCGAGATGTTGAGGGCATTGACAAGGTGAGTTGAAGTCCTTACTATTACCTCGAGCGCTCAGCACAATGTCCTGTATCTACTTGAGCATCGTCACAGCATCGCGGGCCATGCTATCTGCCACGGACCACAATCTTGGGATAACATAGGAGACTGTACAGCTGCAAGCCTTCTGCGTTCGTTCTCACTGTGTTTCTTCGGCTCCTCGTATGTGGACGTGGCAGATGCCAAGATGCCAGGTATCCGGTTCCAGCCCGACCACATCTGAACCTCGAGCGCGCCATATCTCCGAAGGAACAAGCACAAATTCGTAGCCGCCGCTAACGCATCAAACAGGAAGACGAATTTGTCCGCCGTCCTGCCGTTCGACTCTTCATCCCGGATGCTTTGAAGTCAATTCTCGTTGACGATTGGGAGAAGGTCACCAAGGAGCAGAAATTGGTTCCCTTGCCGTCCAAAATTCCTGCTTCGCAGTTCCTCTCGGAATACTATGAAGCTGAATCAATTCATCGCCGCCCTGGGTCCGCGGATGCCGACATACTCGAGGAAGTCATCGCAGGTGTCAAGGAGTATTTCAACAAAGCCCTGGGACGCATACTCTTGTATAGGTTCGAGAGGCCGCAGTTCTATGAATATCACAAGGCGGTCGAAAGCGCGGTTGGCGAGCATGCAGGCAAAGGCCTTGTTGACATCTATGGCTGCGAGCATCTTTTGAGATTGTTTGGTAAGAATACTTTCTGCGTAACGACTTGACTATCCTGCTAAACAATACAGTCTCTATGCCTGACCTCATCGCGCACACCAACATGGACACGCAAGCAGTCTCGCGACTCAGAGAAGAACTCGCGAAAATGACACAGTGGCTAGCTAAAAGGGTCGAGCGCTACCTTTCCGCCGAGTATGAGCATGCGGGCCAGGACTATCTTGACGGCGCCAAAAACGGTTCGTAAGCACAGTGCTCTTGGCCTTGCGGACAGAGTACGAAAGGAATTTTCATCATCATTGAGCATAGCGGGGCGGTCGAGGCGTATCGGCGCCAGAGAGAGATTCCAGTCCTGAATTGGCTTGAACAAGCATCAACAGGAGCGGGTTGTACCTTTGTCACATTAGAAACTGTGTTCTTGGGCAAAAATATACTGCATTTGAGCTGTCGTAATCCATGTCGTGCGGACATGGTCACCCGGAAGTGTCGTGCTACTTCTACTGCGGGTGCCTCATATACTTGAAAAGAGCACCGTCTTCCCTGAGCAGCTCACAGTCTGCTCTCACGAGTGACTGCTCCTCGGCAGTGTCCCGGACTGAGCTACTCTCAAGCATGCCCTTCAAGTTCCCATCGTGTCTGGCCTCGAGCGTGATGGCGCAATTCTTGCACAGTCTTAGACCGCATCCAGGCGTATCTTCGCCAGTTTCTGAGACGCATTCATGGGTGGCCAGGCGCGTACACACGGAACAGAATCGCTCGGCATCATCTGGCGTTAGATCGCCTTCGAGAAGCTTTTCTTCCGCAGCTTCCTGCGAAGCAGGCGAGAAGGCTGCAAGGTCTGTGCTGGGTCGCATGGTGTGCTTGTCACACACGATCACGCACATTCGACGCAAAGTGCACACGCCGCAGAGGCGAGTATTCTCGATCCCACGTGAGCGATATCCATCACCCATTTCGACAAAGCCCGGATCTTCAGGGTGGTCGATGACTTGTGTCTCAATCTGGCCCAGGCCGAAGAACGGGAGACTCGGTTCCGTGCAGAAGTGACATGAGAGTTCGTTGCCGTTCGGCGGTGTCATATCAGTACTCTGCGAGTCGTCGTCGCAGTTGAACATGATTGGGTGGGAGAAAGATGTTCGGATCGTGCAAAGAGTTCCACCAGCACCGACATTTGAGCCTGACGCCTGGCCGCCTGGTTCCTGCGGAGATGGATGGTCAGTCGGGGCTTCGACCACTGCTCGAGCGTCTGCTTGGGCAAGCTGATCTGAACTGTAAATTGTGCAAGGCAAAGTTTCCACCAGACACTTGGAACAGGCGCTTCGGAAATGACCATCGTCATCAGGAAGATATTCGCAGATTCCACCTTGTTGTCGACATTCGAGGCACGCGAGTGGCGCTTTCGGCTCGCCATTCTTTTTTCTTTTCGCCTGAGGGTATGGATCGTCTTTCCAATCTCGCTCATATCGTTTCCGCGGTCTGATAAAGGCTTGGACTGGGCCTGCTATGCAGGGATGGCTGCAAGCTGCGCAACGATCACAGCTCATGGCGTGATTTTGCGTTGACGTGTACGAACACGTCACTCTTCGATGTTTGCAACTTTCGCAAGCTCTTTTGCGTCTTGGTGGAGTGATGAGTTCGCAATCTGTTCCACTGTCGACGCATGCTTGGCAAGGCCAGCTCCTCTCATCATCCAACAATGAGCATCGATGCTCGTCACTCCCTGTTCCGTATAGAGTGACACAGGCATAACAACCACGCGAGAAGGGTTTTGCGGTAAGGTCAAGGTCCGAGAGCTTCTCGCAAGGACTGGAGCGATTTGGTTTTGCGTCGCGCTTGCGGAGCCTATATCCTGTTCCATCTGACTGAAGCTGGCTCTCAAAAGCCTCGACTTTGCGTGCGAAGAGCCGTCTTCCACTCTCACTTCTGAAGTTCAACGTCACAGGTAGACTCACAGCTTCTTGGACGCCGCGTGAGCTCTCAACTCCGCTGCTGGCCGAGTGGCTGCTTGTTGTGTCATTGCCACAACGTGCTTGGTTGCGACTTCTGCCGCTCGCTCGTGAGCGTTTGAGGCGATTCATACGTTCGTCTTCTATAGGATTGTAATCCCCTGTCGTATCCGTGTCCAACCTGCCGCAAGTCAGCATAGATCACACATCCGGAATGTCCGCACAATCCTAGCAACATACCAAGTAGTGGTGAACCCCTTCTGCCTGCATTGTGGGCGAAGCTGTCTCTGTGACACTCCAAACTCTTCGAAGCCTGCATCGGCTAAAAGCTCTGGATTCGTCGCACCAGAGAAATTGGATGACTCCACAGAGAACGATGACTCGCAATGAATATCGTCTTGTCCGACAACAGAATTGTCTCGCACCTTCTCCTCTGATTTCTGACATGGTGTTGTGTCATCGTAATGGGCGGTTAAAAGCGCCAGGTCCGGGGTGCCGAGTATTCCGATGGAAGCAGGATCGTAGGTCTTGACAGAATCATCCTGATGGTTCAAGTCAATGTCTAGATCATTCGCATTCGTCGCAGCGAGAGATGAAGGATTGTTGGGATCAGATGAAGGCGATGGTCGTTCGCGGGTTGTACTCTTGCAGTTCAGATGATCGACGTCCGCCTGAAGAGTCATCTCGGGATCGAGGGTAAGGACGTTCGCCAGTTCTTGCTCCATTGTGCGTGCTTTTACAAAAATGTGCCGGAAGACCCATGGAATATTCTGAGCTGCAGAACTTGGCCGTAGCGCAAGTGAAGCACTTGTCACATGCGGACGCGCGCGAAATGCGAGTGCGGAAGTGAGATGAGTGATTGCTGGACTTGGAACATGTGCGTCGGATCGAGGCTTGCCTTGTAGAGTTGAGTCTCTCGTCGTCTTTTAGGCAATTTGGTGGCTGCTGAAGTACTGAGGGCGTGATTAATTTGGCATGGAAACATCGAGTGCCTGTCGCCTTTCTTCGGAGAAGAGGACTCTGTTGTGATCAGTGTTTGGTTTGAGGTGTTACTTCTGCAACCAGCCTGGGGGCTGGGCGAACAGACTACCGTATTGCCTCGCGGTCTTTCAGTAGCTTCGGGCAGGCAGTGATAGCAGCGAAGCCGAGGATGACGATATTGATTACTTAGTTGTTCGTGATGCTGCATCCGAAGTGGAAGCATGTTTGTAGGCGCGAAGCGTTCCCCTTAAGACCAGCCTCAAGTGAGGGTCTGGCGGGAGCTCAGACCGCAGCCACAGAGCTACCATTCTCTTGCCGTACAGCTTATCTGTCTATGGAGTATTTTCTGAGCATCGACGGCTTGCATATTGGCACCATTGGATCGTTTTGATGGTGGACTTGTCTTGAGATGTCAGAGCGTTGGTAACAATTGATGACCGAGACTTGTTGCTGACAGGAGCAGGCAATCTTAAGCGGCTCTATGACGATTGACGTCCTGCCGTGAACACTACGCGGGCACCATGTATATATGGATGTTGCAGAGGATTGGGGACGATGATCCCTTTGGAAGTGTTGGTCGATGCCCGGGACCGGGCCGTCGTCGCGCGCCTGCTTCGTCAAATTTCCGAAGCCTCTCCCGATGACCACTTCGTTCTCTGCTTGTTACCTTGCACATGGACTTGTTCCTCATCCGACACGGCGAGACAGTCGACAATGTAGCGGGTCTTTACGCTGGCGTACGAGACTCGCAGCTCACGAACTATGGCGTCGACCAAACGAAGCGTCTGGGCGAGCACCTAGCGCAGCGACATCTTTTCACCAACATCTTCGCCTCTCCTCTTTCTCGAGCCTACAGAACCGCTCAAGCGATACGAGCCGCCCAACTGAGCGTCCCGTCTAGGTCGGAACCTGTTCATATTGTGCAGGTGCAGGAGCTGATCGAGCAAAATTTCGGGTTCTATGAGGGCAAGCATTTTCATGCTCGTACAGATCCGAAAAAGACTGGAAGGGAGGCACATCGTCTGCAGCATCAAAGCGATCCAGGTTTTGTTGATGTTGAGAGCAAAGACTCCATGAATCAGCGTGCTGATGTTTTCCTTGATGAGCATCTTATGCCGCTTTTTTCGCAACGACCTGGACAGAACCGCTTTTGCGTTGCAATTGTGTCTCATGGAATGTTATTGTCACACCTTTGGAGGCGTTTGTTGCTGAGATTGCCATCAAAGAGCATCACTGTCGACCCTGCGGTGACTGCTGCGCGAGGGCCGGTTGTGTTGCAACATCTCGGCGGATGGTCGAACACGGGATATCTTGAGCTCGCCATCAGGCGCATTGCAAGCCCTCTGCAGTCTTCAGTGGATGCTTCGACTGCACTGTCAAGCCAAAGCTCTGCCGTGACCTTGAGCACCGATGCTGACACATTCAACGACGCTGCCGAGGAAAAGCTTAAGGATCTACCAAAGCCACCATCCGACCGATCTGCTTCATCAGGCCCTAAGCACTCCACACCAGAAGCTGTGATAGAGAGTTCAAGTGAGCCGCTGTGTTTATCCACGGGCTGGACAACCGTTATTGTCAGCATTGACCGAAAAGATCATCTCGCAGGCCTCAAGAGGCAGCGCGGAGGAATGTACGTAAAGTATCCGACACACTCTCTTATTGCCCGAGCCGTATATGCTAATGGGACTTGCGGGTACCTTTTAGTGGTCGTTCCGCGCATGATGAGAAGCAAGGCCGGCTGGAATCATTCTTCTCCAAGAAGCAGCGGACAAGCTGAAATCTGCAGTTGTCGAAGGCCGGTCTACTGACAGCCGCAGTAGAGACAGACTTCTACTACGGTCCTCCTGTTCCCAAATGCCAAAGGCTCCGTCAGCCGGCATGTCAGTCACACCGAGATCTGCTGAACCAGACTTTGGGACGACAGATCGATCCTCTGGGGTATGCCTCGACGCGATCAATAAACAGGTATGTGAAAACTCTTGTCCGCTCGTCCCTGCAATGATGATACACAAATATACACAGACCTGTTCTGAAGTTCAATGTGGATTCAAATTTGTCCAACTGCTGTCTGAAATCCTTCCGCTTCGTACTTTTGCAAGAAGATGATTTCTTTCCGTGCACAAGCTAACATGTCACCACAGAGCGCGTGAGACTTCGCCGCTGCTCCGTATGTATCGCGGGCTGATTGCGGAAATACGGGCATGCTTATGACTCTGTTCCGTAATGATGCTGCTCGAGCGGAAGATATCGCCTACTCTACGGCCGGATGCAGACAAGCTCGAAAGCACGCAGCTATCGCGCAGCAGGCAAAGAATGGCCCTCTGCCGCCACGTTTGGCACCCAGTGTATTACTGTTATGTTCCGCTCGCTCTCTTCAAACGCTCTGCCTTATCTGCTCTCGCGTGTCTGCGTCGCCTGCGTTCCATCGCAAGGCAAGGCAAGCAAGGCACATACTGTACTGCATCGCACAAGTTTGGGGCGAGTTGTACGTGAAACCAACAGTTGTGTTGCTAGCCGCCTTGGTCAATGCTCTGTACGCAGTGATTCCGAAGGACTGACGTGAGGAGAGGCTGTCTGAAATGTATCAAGTGGCTTCCTTGCGGTCGCTTGCTGCAGGCGTTGGCAGGGATCAGGGATTAGCTTTGGCCCACTTGTTGGGCGCCCCAGCCATTCAGGATGCACGCGACGTGGACCTCACTTCTTTGACATTGCTCGACTTGCACGCCTGGAGCCTCATGGCCGCACAGTATCGGATGTTTTGCGAGTGTGGCACCGGCTGAGTAAAGGTGCGAAATTGGCAGTTGAGGGAGGGTGGCGTGTCGCGCCTGCAACGCGCCATTCAAGGCGAGGCGAGCAGCCGCGCACCAAGGACCAGCGATGTGGCAATCGACGGGTCAAATCAACGTGAAAGACGCAAAGCAGATGGTGAGTGAAGTGGAGGATGTTGATGTTGTGCAACGATGCGGGCTTGCCGTCACCGTCACCGTCACCGTCACTTCGCCAAACGGCGCCAAGTGGCTGGTGGAACGTGCGCCAGCCTCCCCTGCCTCTTCAACATCAAATCTGCTCTCGCACAGCAACGAAATCTTTTTCCACAACAAACATCTCTCGTTCGCGCACACTTGAGATCGCATCGTCAGCATATCCATTCTCAAGCACTCCACCACCATAGCAGCACCGACCATCACCGTCGCTTCAGCAATTCAACAACTATCGCCAACATGCGTTCTACTGTTGCTCTCGGCGCCGTCGCGCTCGCTGCCATCGCTGCCGCAGATGCCACCGGTGAGTAACGCACGCGAGCACACTTCATCGACTTGATCGCGTTGACTGACAACCGACAGTGACCATCACCTCTGTTTCCACCGTCACGGCTGCCGACTGCTCAGCCAGTGAGTGCAATCCTCCTGCCTCCTTGTCAAGCCCTTCAGGCACTGCAAATGCACTCACTGTGCTCCAATCCGCCTTGTCATCCTGCAATTCAGAGCCCAATGCCCTCTCAGTCCTACAATCTGCCCTCACCCTGTCAACTCAGGTCACCTTCGCATCATCCGTCTGGTCTGCATATGGCGGAATCCCTACCCCGAAATCCTCCTCATCCTCTTTTGCACCTGGTTCTGAGTCACAAATCACGCGCACAATCACCGCACCCACCTCCAGAATAACCCAATCTTCCCCTGCTAGCACGGAAAGCTTACCATCTCGATCCACAGGCCCACCTAGCTACGGCTCTGACACCACCGTCACTCTCCCATCGACCAGCACCGTCGAGTCCACCGCCACCGTGGCCCCATCCGAGAGCAGCAGCGTCGCCGGCCCAGAGGAGACCACTGAGACCACTGGTCCAGCTCCAGGGAGCAGCGAGGCTACTCCGCCAGCTTCTTCCAACGAGGTCGGCCCAGCCACTGGAGAGTCATCCACCCTCGCTACCGTCACCTCGGCCCCATCTGGCGCCAACACCGCTTCTGCCACCAGCACCAACGAGGTCGGTCCAGTCGGCACCAGCTCTGAACCAACCGTATCATCCACCGAGGCCCCAGTCGCAGAGTCGACCAACGCTGCTGACTCCAAGCACCCAAGCGTCATTGGTCTGGCCGCTGTCATGGCTGCTCTGGCTGTCATCTAGAGCTTCACAAGTTAGCGACGAGAGCACAAGGGTCTGGCTTGACACCACACGGTTTGCGCTCCAATCTACGACTTCACGGGTTTCGATGATTGACGTACACACTTACTTGCATGGATGCGCGATCGCGTTGGGTGCTTTGGCGTAAATCGGCGCACGAACGGAAATACCCCCATACATGCATATTGCGGATCATGACTTGCATTGAGCGATGAGCAACAGAAGCCCGGCGAGGCGGCACTGATTGTAACTAGAGCTTTCGAAAATGCGTGCATAATGTAATCGAGTAGCGAGGCTCTCGATCTTGAACTCTGACACTTGTTCTCCCCCCTCTCGCTACTGACTCGTGTATGTCTGACCTGATCTTGATTTGATTACACTACATGTACACATGCGTCTCACATTTCTGTCGTATCTACAGCTCAGATAACAATATATTCCCCATCAATCCGATCCATGGCCTTCCTCCACCTGAACGCCTGTCCATGCCTCCCAGTTCTGCCCGCTTCAGAATCTCGTCTCCGAGCCTTGATTTCCGCCGCTTCCATGCCCTGCACATTATTGCCAACCTCACGCCAAACTTTCTCCAAAACTTCCAGTCCACTGATGTTGTTCCAAAACCCACTTTCTTTCTGCACCTCAATACATCTCTCCCGGATGACGTTTCGATGTTGCTCGTCGACGCATTCCGTCCCGATGATGAACAATGGCCAGAGGAGGAATTTGTTGACGCAGGATGTAATCTCCAGGGCGGTCATGTGTTGGAGACCTGCGGAAACGTACTGTTGGAAGGTAGGGTGTGAGGATGGCAGGAGTGGCGATCCCAGCCGTTCGGTGTAGAGAAGAGCAGAGTAGCGGAAGGATTCGTTGATGTGTAGCATGTCTCGTCGGCCGAGCTCGAAGTCTTGCGCGCTTGTGCTTTCGCTTGGCGGAGGTACTGAATATGTGGCCATCGTCCAAGCCTGGAGGCGAGCGCGAATGTCGTTCCATTCCGACCAGAACTCCTGGCGGTGATCGGGATCAGAGGTGGTGCTGTGATGAAGCTCGTGCAACCTGTGGGACGATGCGTTGTCTTCTTCATCCGAAGATGTTATCGGTGAGCCCCAGCCATTGCCATCGATGCGCTCGCAGTCGATGATATGAAGCGTTTTTGCGGGCAGCTTTCGCTTCTTGAAGGACGGCGTGTGAGCTTTATGGGTAGATGGTGGCCGCGGCATACGATCTACGCTGCCTTGTGGTCGGACCGCTCGGCCTTGAGCGAGAAGATTCAGGCGGCCGAGCCTCGCAATCAGCTTGAACAACCTTCCGTCGCAGCCGGAGAACTGCTCTAAAGCTCCTAGACCTGAGCCATAATCGAGCATATCAAGAGACTCGCTCTTGATCTGCATTTCGCGGTCGTTGACAGCACTCGTCAATACATCAAACCATAGAAAGAACATCTCGACCCAGCCTGTAAAGTCGGACTGCGTTTGTCGATCTCTCAAAGAAAGCAATTTCTGCACCCCAGCCAGCTGGGTTTTGAATTTGCTGAATCCAGAATCGCAAACGTGGAATAGGCAGAGGATGAGAAGTGTCGCCAAGACAGAATCATCGTGGGCCGCTCGGGAGTCTGTAAGCTGCATGTTGAGTTGATCAATGGACATCTGTTTGTAGCAAAGCTCTTCAACCGTGGGCTCATTCAGATCCTTCGGCTTGTGTGACCCATCAAAGGCATCGGTGATTTCCTCAACGATGCCCATTTGGCGAGGTGGAGGTTGTCTGCGCATACGCATGTTGTTCGTCGCAAGAGCGGCAATTGCGTTCTGTAGGCCTTCGTTGTGCATTGCTAATTGAAGAACGTGCTTTCGGTAGGGATTCTCGGACCCATCAAATGCAACGAGATAGGTGCAGATATGGCGGTCGTAGTACTCCATGAGGCTCTGCAGGCGCGGCGTGATGTGGAAGAAAGGAGTGCTGAAGCGAGGATCGAGTAGCTGAAGCGTCTTCTGGTCTTCGTCTTCATCCTGCGGGAAATGGCCCTCGAGGTCATCGAAAGGATTGATGGTTGACATGTCGGCTAGCGGGCTGAATAGGACTTCATCGTGGTGGTAGGTTGTCGACTGGTAATGGACAGTAGTGGCACCGCCGCTCGAACCAAAAAGGCCGTGGCTCTGCACAGAGTCTATGCTCGAGCTCATACGGTGTCCGTATGAGCCAAGCGAGGCACCACGCACATTCGACGTGAGGCTGTCAACTGAGCTACTCAACGGCTGACCGGTGTATGGGGCCGTATAGGCCTGGGCATAGGGATCGCTGAACGCAGATTGCGGAGTCACGGGATATTCGGCCGGCGAATGGTACTCCTGCTCAGCAAAGAAGCCTCGTGAACTCCCAGAGCTTGGCATGCCACGAGCATCGTATTGGGGACGGAGAGTAGTATGTATATGTTGTAGCGAACGATGCCGCAGAGGATGCGGACGGATTTGGGGAAGCTCTGATACCCGAGGAGTCTGCCGGGCATGTTGTCCTTGGGTTTGGGTAGTCGAGATCGATGTGGGTGCAGATGTATCTTCATGCTTGGCCTTCGTTGCAGAGCTCTTTTGATGTCGCGGGTCGTCTACACTTTTGCCTGCGATGGGACACGACAGGCCTCTCAACTAAAGCGCAAACGGGGTCATGTCAGCGCTGGTCTGCTTCGTTCACTCACGGCTTCGGCTTCGGCTTCGGCCACGGCCACGGCTAGCACTCTCGTCATACAAGTCTTACCTTTCCCCTGCTGGCGACGCCCACGCCCCACGTCAAAGTAGTCTTGTATCCTGGACATTCCTTCCCCATTTCCACACACGGCGTGCAGTACGGACGGTTGCGATCACAAGGCACGGCCCTCTTGCGGCACGAGAAGCAGTCATCTTGGGGGCCACTCGCCGCCGTTCTGCGTCGTCTCTTCCGGGGCGGGGGAGCAGTCGGGGCGCTGGCATTGGCATTGGCATTGGCATTGGCGTGGGCGTTGACTGCAGGATCCACGGACGTCATCGTCGACGGACGGCGTTGCTGTTCAACAGCGCGGCGGGCTTCGAGCACCGCTGCTCTCCAGGCAGGAGCAGTGGTCTTTACCGTAGCTTGGTTCAGCGGAGATAGAACTAGTCCGAGATACATGCACGATGGGACCAGCCGCGGCCGCAGCGTACCATATCAGCCGAGCCGTGCATGTGTGGTGCGAGATGGTGTCGTCGGTCGGATCGCATGCCGCCGCTGGACGACCGAGGCCTCTCAGCAGTCTTCCAGCCGGTCCTACAATGCAACGCCATGGCCCGCCTTACTACATACTGCTGCCTTACTGCGTGCGTTGGAGGGGCCTCGTGCCCGACGATCGCCTACCCGTTATCCAGCTCGACATGTTCATGGCCCGCCGCCCGCCACAGCGCGCCGCATTTTACAGTAGTGGTGGCAAAGTCGAGTTCGCGTATTCTACAGGGAAGCACTGCGCCGCTATCCCCGTGTGCAATGCATCAAGCATCATCTCCCTTCGTGCAGTGACATGCCCCAGCAAGTTATATACATATCATCTCCACACAGCACGTGCGTCTGTGACCTCGCCGCTGTGCTGTGCCGCTGATGAATGCGTTCCATGAACAACACCACCACTGACCACTCCATACGCGCAAGCTCATGCTCATGCACCGCATATAAAATCGCCTACGCGACTCCATTATCTATCCACTTCTCCCCCCGTCTTCTTCCACTGCAACATCGCTAGGCTTCTCAAGCGATGTCTGTGTAGTCACCGGAGGCACTCGCGACGTCCTCGTCCTCATCCTACCTTCTCCACCTCATGTCCCGATTGTGCGGCGTCGAGTCGTCAGACGAGGCAAGCGCGGCTACGAATGCTCATCGGGTGGCCTTGACTTCCGCCTAAAGCACGGTCACGGTGCAAAGGTCAAAGCGATCGAGTGCTGGAAGCCTATTCTATAATAAACATGGGAGGCTCTTTCGGGCGTGAGACAAACCCGCATTGCATCACTTCCACCGGCTTGTCCAAGCACTCCCACTAGAAAATGCCGCACGAACAACCCCAAGGCTATGTCAGGTTTGCCTGTCTTCATCGAAGACTAGGTTGCGCTCAATGGTGAGTCAACGACGCAGCATGGCCTTGTAAGCCTTAGACTGACGAGAGGCCATTCGGATGACAGGGTTTGGCAGAATGGAGCTGCTTGTGCTCAATGCATTGTATGTCATCAGCATCGAAACCCACGCAACAAACAGTGAGCACTGCTGAGTGACTGCTGCGTAGGCACAGGGACGCGACCCTGGCAGAGCGTCAAGCAAATAAGGAAGATGACGCCATGGAAGAGACGGTGTGGCCAGGGCACCAATTGAAATGTCACTTCAAATGGGAAGAAGACACATGTTGGCTTGGTGCTGCTCTGAGACAAGCTGCCTCTTGGGAGTGCCCTTGTCCCAAGCTTGCTGTGGGGCGAGACTATTCGAGAATCCACTCCGGTTATTCGAGAATCCGGGCATCCGATTACGGAGGAGGCCTAAGGCAAATTTGTTAGTTATATTCTCCACCGCTAGACCTTACCGTTACCGCTGTTTTAATCGCTGTTTTAACCTAACCTCGCTATCGCTGTCGATAGCTATATTATTAAGCCCTTCTACGTAGTTATAAGCCGAGTATAATGCCGCCGCCTCTACTACTACCGCTACTACCGCTACTACCGCCGCCGCCGCCCGCTCCGAGGGCTCTACTAGTACCTATAGCGCTAGCAGGTATACTAGATTATACTAAGATTATATAGTAGGAACTATACGTTAATACGAGGGTCGTAGAACCTTATTTGCTAGGTAGGTAGTATACCTAGAACAGTTAGGATTAGCTATAGTGTCGAATTCTACGTCTATTATTTACTTAATTCTTCTTTCCTATATTATTATTCTACTAAGTAGCTAGTATAGGCATTAGAAGTTACTATACGATATTCTATAGTATAGATTACTAACAATGTAGTCTTACCGAGACCGGAGCGGCCCTAGGTCCGTAGATTCTCGAATAACCGGAGTAGATTCTCGAATAGCCTCGCCCGTTAGAGGCCTTATACCGATGCCTAGCCGCTTTATCTCTCTATACAAACGATAGGTAAGTAATGTCGGGGTATGTACGTTAGTTCCTAATCCGTTAATTATAAGAAGCGATTTCGGTTAGTTGCGAGGAATATAGTTAAGAAGGAGAGACTATAGCGATTATAACGGAATTAAATATTATCGGGCAAATTTTCGAATTAGTCGTACTACTAGTTCTTCTAAGTGTTTTAATACTAGATTATCTAATAGACTGTCGGTAGACATAGATAGAAGAAGATTCAAACGCTATTAGTATTCGAAGAAGGCATATCTCTAGAATCTAGCGCACTGCTGCTATCCTTATAGCTAACGGGCGAGGCTATTCGAGAATCTACTCCGGTTATTCGAGAATCTACGGACCTAGGGCCGCTCCGGTCTCGGTAAGACTATATTATTAGTAATCTATACTATAGAACATCGTATAGTGACTTCTAATGCCTATACTAGCTGCTTAGTAGAATAATAACGTAGGAAAGAAGAATTAAGTAAATAATAGACGTAGAATTCGACACTATAGCTAATCCTAACTATTCTAGGCATACTGCCTACCTAGCAAATAAGGTTCTACGACCCTCGTATTAACGTATAGTTCCTACTATACAATCTTAGTGTAATCTAGCATACCTGCTAGCGCTATAGGTACTAGTAGAGCCCTCGGAGCGGGCGGCGGCGGCGGCAGTAGCGGTAGTAGCGGTAGTAGTAGAGGCGGCGGTATTACACTCGGCTTATAACTACGTAGAAGGGCTTAACAATATAGCTATCGATAGCGACAGCGAGGTTAGGTTAAAACAGCGATTAAAACAGCGGTAACGGTAAGGTCTAGCGGTAGAGAACATAACTAACAAATTTGCCTTAGGCCTCCTCCGTAATTAGATACCCGGATTCTCGAGGCGAGGCTATTCGAGAATCCACTCCGGTTATTCGAGAATCTAAGGACCTAGGGCCGCTCCGGTCTTAGTAAGACTATATTGTTAGTAATCTATACTATAGAACATCGCATAGTAACTTCTAATGCCTATACTAGCTACTTAGTAGAATAATAACGTAGGAAAGAAGAATTAAGTAAATAATAGACGTAGAATTCGACACTATAGCTAATCCTAACTATTCTAGGTATACTACCTACCTAGCAAATAAGGTTCTACGACCCTCGTATTAACGTATAGAGTTGAATCCTAAGGCATGTACCTAGGTCCGTATATACACGCGGTACCCTATTTAGCGACTTCTCGCTTCTTCCGTAGACACTTAATTAACTATCGAATATACACTTTAAGTAGTTATAAGCCCTCGACTGCTACCGTAGACCTAATTAAGACTAAACACCCTTCTACGTAAAGCAGGGGGTGCGAATAAGACCTAACTAAGACCGACAATTAAACAGCTAAGATAGCCGTTTCCGACTCGACCGCGACTATCGCGACTAGCGGCATTCGCAAATTAACACCTACTAACTATCCCCTCTAGAGCGTCGACATTAAGGCCCTTCTGCGGCGCTCTAAGCTACTAAAATACACGACGACTAATCGAGCTACTACGCTTAAAGACGATAATAAGAACACCGATAAGCAGTACTGCAACTACTATAAGAAGAAGTATAGTCCAACCTGCTTTAAGAAGAACCCTAAACTAGCGCCTAACTAGTATAAGAATCTTAACTAACAAGCCGCTAATCTAGCTATTGCTATACCGAATAACCCTCGACCTAGTTTAGAGCTAGTAACTAGCAAGAACTAGGCCTTCTAAACCGACTAAACCTAACCGACTGAATCTAAACGACTAAACGGCTACTTTAAGCACCTACCTATAAGAAGCAGGGGGTGTCGTAGCTACTAACTTAACCGCAATTAATACTAACCTACTAGAAGCAGGGGGTGCGGCGGCTAACTAACTAAACTAAACAACTATTGTAAGGGCAAGATACCTAGGTTGCTGAATTGACTAAACAACTAATAAAGGGCATAATGCCTAGGTTGCTAACTAAATTAACTAAACAACTAATAAAGGGCATAATGCCTAGGTTGCTAACTAAACTAAATAGCTATTGTAAGGGTAAGAAGCCTAGGCTATTAACTAACTAAATGGCTATTATAAGGGCAAGAAGCCTAGGCTATTAACTAATACCTCTTTGTTTGATTTGAGCGACTTTGTATTTACTACGTGCCTTATATATATACGAGGGGGTAAGTTAAATCCTAAGGCATGTGCCTAGGTCCGTACATACACGCGGCACCCTATTTAGCGACTTCTCGCTTCTTCCGTAGACACTTAATTAACTATCGAACATACACTTTAAGTTATAGTTCCTACTATATAATCTTAGTATAATCTAGTATACCTACTAGCGCTATAGGTACTAGTAGAGCCCTCGGAGCGGGCGGCGGCGGCGGTAGTAGCGGTAGTAGCGGTAGTAGTAGAGGCGGCGGTATTATACTCGGCTTATAACTACGTAGAAGGGCTTAATAATATAGCTATCGATAGCGATAGCGAGGTTAGGTTAAAACAGCGATTAAAACAGCGGTAACGGTAAGGTCTAGCGGTAGAGAATATAACTAACAAATTTGCCTTAGGCCTCCTCCGTAATCGGATGCCCGGATTCTCGAATAACCGGAGTGGATTCTCGAATAGTCTCGCCCGCCTCCAACGGCTCCACTGCCGCTCATAGCAACGTAACGCTTTGCGGTGATTGACGGCACTGACCCTTGACCGTTTCTGAGGAGGCACACCGCGATGAGGGTCCCCCACCGCCATTCTACAGTACATATGTACATGGCATGGTTGGTTTTAGGTTTCACCCATGTCCAATACCCGCCTGGATGGACGAATCGAAGGGAGGGCTCTCCTCAAGAGTGACCGGCGGTTGTACGGACTTTGCATGACATGGTGTCTTCGAGCTGCACCACTTGGGCCACGGATTTGATTGGATATGGTATAGGTATGGGTCGTTCCCGTGCACTGAAGAAGCTACGCAAATGGACCTAATCTAGTCTTCGTTCGCGGACTCCCACGCGTTCAAACGGGTCCCTGAAAGCGTGCTACGCTACGCTTTGCGCCAGAGATTTTGTGGCTAACTAGCCGAAAGAAGTTCGCTCGAGTCTTAAAATCTCTCCTGTGCCGGTCTAATAATAAGGTAGCAAGTCAGCAACGTGCCTCGCTTGGATGGGAGACGCTCTCTGATTTGCTTACCGCAAGTCCAGTTCATGAGTCCAGAGAGTTGGGTGCTGGTTATGAAGGAACAGGTATGTTTCACCACTAGATGCAAAGAGATATGATGATGATTAGCAAGCGCTTTAAGAGAAGACAAGAAGGGGCCTCTCCAGGGCAGAAGCTGAGACCAGACCCTCCCAATCCCAGAGAGTGCCAGTCGATGGAGGCATGTTCAATCCACTTACACGGCATCCGCGGCTATGCTCTTCCCGGTTTGGCATTCTTCAGATTCTGGGGCATCGACAATTCTACCGTTGGCAATGGCATGCTAATCGGGTTAGCAAAACGATATCTGCAGCCTTTGCAACGGTAGAGACTTACGGCGACATGAACACCCTTTGGGCTCATTTCTTTGGCAAGAGCTTGCGCCAACTGCCTGACACTTCCTCGAGATGCGCCATAGCTACCGAACTCTGCGTTACATCTGAGCGCCCCCTACTTCGAGTAAGTATCGGTCCAAGGGCCAAGAACTTCCTTGCCGGTCACGACTTACCATAGTACCTGTGAAGATTAGAGTACCTTTCTTCTCCCCACCATCGGCCAGCAATCTCTCACCATGGTCCGCGAAAAATCGTTTAATCGACTCCTGCGCGAAGACCATAGCGCCACCGACATACGTCTCCAACGGCTCCATGAACTCCTCGAACGTTTCCGTCAAGAACGGTTTTTTGGAGCTGTTCTTGATTGAGAAGATTGCGACCTTGAGCTTGAGGTCCTTGAAAGAGCTGTGATTCTGAATCTCGGCAAAAGCCTTCCTCAAATTCTGGGGCTTGGTGTCCGTAGGGAATGCTTCAAGCACAGCATCCTTATTCTGTGATTTGAGAGACGTGATCAGGTCGTTCAATACCTCTGGTCTTCTGGCGAGAAGGGCGACCGCAAGATTGCCTTGACTAGGCGACGAAAGAACTCGAGCAATACCTTGGATGCATTGGTCAGCGTGCTGGTGCACTTCGTTAGGATGTTGCATCGACCTACCTGCTCCAGTAGCTGGACCGGCTCCGATCAGAATGGCTAGGCCTGTAGGTGCCATGGTGAACGATCAAGTACCTGGCAAGAGTCGTAAAATCACAAAACGGCGCATGTATGGACGACATCAAATGTCTCTGCACCGAGAAGTGTTCCCTGGCGGGGTAATATTAAGGTTTGAGAAGAGTGCTGTCTCTACACTCGGCGTGAATACAAATCGAATGCAGATCAGAATCAGATCAGCCTTAATAAAAAAATGGAGAGCGATTAAGCTCTGAGCCGCGCGATGTCTGCTTGCAAAGTCGACGACTTCGTTTGTGATGACTCCTTTCGCGTAGGACCGGGACTTTGTTGCAAACTGTTTGAAGATGCCGAGATTGACTCTTGGTTCAGGATGGACACTTATGGTTGACTGTATATGCATCTACTGAAGAGAAACGACGCGATAAGCTTGCGCGAGATTTGCCCTGGCCTTTCTGTTCTTTCGCGTCATGCTAGCCGTTTTCTCACTTCACAAATCATTGGTATCATGAAAGGCATTCAAATTATGCATCAAACCTATGCTTATTGCTCGACAGCACCATTAGCCGGCGGCGCGGTCGACGATCCATTCATCGCTTTGGGACTGCTTCGCTGACTTTCTTGTTTGGTGGCCGATCGCTTCTCATCATCACCGCTGTCGTCATAGTTCTCATCCACATCCATCTTTCGTGCAGCAGGTTCGTAGACCGGTTGTGGCTGTGGCTGTGGCGGCGGTGCCGCTCGTTGTTCTTCCTGAGGCGGAGCCGACATTCGTGGTGATGGCTGAGTTATGGCCTGCATTGATGGAAGTGATGGTGGATGGTGAGCAGCTTCTGAAGGGTTGTATGCAGAAGTAGGACGCGGTTCCTCCATACGTCTGAGCTCCGAGGGACTTCGATGCCCAGGTGGTGTCCCAGTCTTGGCTGGCGGCGAGGGTCTTTGAATCTTGATCTCATCCAGGCGAGAACGACTTTCGTCGGTTGTAGGCTTCTTAGAGGCGCTGTGGTTGGGATCATCCTCCCACTCGCGAAGACGTTTGGGAGCGGCACTACCAGGCCTTTCCTCGCGCTCCCTTGCAGCAGCATCCGCAGCTGTCTGGGCAGATATTGGAGGTGGCGCACCGCTCGCTATGCTGGGCGCCATTGGGTTTGGATGATGCTCATATGGTGTTCGTGGTCCTCCAAAGTGCCCAGGGCTCGGCGACGGAGCAGGATTGCCAACAAGTGGGCGAATTTCTGGTTGATTCTCTTGCTGGCGCGCATATGGTGGCAAAGTCGATGAGGAAGCAGCAGAAGGCGTAGAGACACCGTTAGACGGGGCTGGTGGGCCATTAGAAGGATGCGAAACAAAAGGCGGCCTCTGTGCATCTTGCTGATGAGGTTGCTGAGCTTGGTGAGGCTGAATGGGTTGCTGCTGTGGGCCTGGATGCGGCCCGCTTTGTGGGTAAGGCGCGGGCGCAGACTGTTGTCCTTTGGGCGATGGTGAAAGTCCTCGATGTGGAGGCGGAGGTGGTCGAGATGGTTGCTCCTGGTATTGACGCGAAGGGGGTGGGCTTGGTTGCCTCTGTAGGAGAGTTGGCTGCGGACCGCTTTGCTGTTGCTGAGCAGATGCCAATGGTGGCTGCTGACCCTGCGATGGGCCTTGCTGCTGCCCTTGCTGGGGAGGAAGGCGATCACGTTGGTCGAAAGGATTCATCGGCCGTGGCTGCATTTGCGGATTTTGAAGGTCAGCCAAGCGATTGCCGTTCCAGTTGTTGCCGGCAGCCAGTGGTGGCGGAGCAGGACCAGGAGGCGGTGGGTTCTGAGAGTGTGCTCCCCACTGAGGACCAGGAGGACCGGCACCAAGAGTGCCTGGCTGATATGCTTGAGGATGTACGTCTTGCGGCGCTGGTGCACCCTGGTTCGGAATGCCATTGGTTGGCTGGCCCTTGAGAAGGTTCAAACGTGCCTTGATATGAGCATTGGTTGGATCTAGGTCGGCGGCTCTGCTGTAGGCGTCAAGTGCATCACTCGTCTGATTGTTGCATGATTCGTACTATATGCGCGTGAGTAAAAGCTTGATCACAATGCGGAGATGGGTCAACTTACAAGTGTGCCAAGATCATACCACACCTCCGAGATGTTTGGATTCAGGCGAATAGCGCGAGAGTATGCATCGAGGGCATCTCTGTACTGATTGATCTGGTAGTAAAGGACACCAATCGAGCACCAGAATGTTGGATTGCGGCCATCGCGATAGACGGCTTGCTGGTAAGCTTCGTATGCTTTGGGGTACTTCTGTTGCGACATGTAACATCTGCCAAGCAAATACCAGCTCTGCGCGTCAGTTTGATCTAGTTGTACGTTAGATGTGTGTTGCCTCGAAACAATTTTCAAAGTCGGCTTACCAGAAGCGACCGATTTCTCCAAGTACTCAATCGCCTGCTCCTGACTGTTAAAACTGGTACTCTGTTGGTGGTGAAGCCATCCAAGCTGTTGTAAAACCTTGGCGTGATTCGGGTCACGCTCCAGCACACGGGTGTATGCAGCCTTTGCGTTATCGTACTGAGCAACTGTTAGCACGGAGACCGAGTGGAAATCGAGACCAACCAACATCTTTCTGTTGCTCATGGACATGGCCGATCTGGAACCAGATGTCCTCTTCACTCAGAGGACGAGGCGGGTCGGTCACAATATAACGGAAGCACTGTGGACGTTGTCAGTATTGTTTCTCGGTTCAGCCGGAGGATGCTCACCTCGAGACTCTGCGCGAACTTCTGTTGCTGCTTATATATGATACCAAGTCGAAAGTAGATTTCGTTGGCCTTTTCGAAGTTGGGCTCCATGCGCATTACTTGGGAGAAAGCCTCTTCGGCATGCTCCAATGAGCCGTAGCGATCGTAGAGTATACCAATTCCATACCACAGCTTTGGTTCTTTGGGGTCAGGAAGATGATAGAGGGCTTGTTGGTATGCCGAGTACGCCTGCTGCAAGTCGTCCATCATGAGATAGCAGTGTCCCAAACTGCTCCACACCTCTCCGTTCGTCGGTTCCACCTTGAGAATCTGTCTGAGATACTCGACAGCAGCTGTGAATTGATCCTTGGAGCGGAGGATGCAAGAGATGGCAAGCATCGCGGGGACAGACCTGGTAGGGGTAAGAATCAGCAAGAGTGCTCTAGGTACGCGCGCTCTGCGCCATGTGCTTGGCCTGGACGTCAATGGATATGAGCGGACTTACCACTGGTTAAAGGTCATCGCATGCTCGTAGGCAGCGGTGGCGCCGTCGAGCTCGCCCATGACCTCGGAGAGATTGCCGAGTTGAAGCCATACGGATTCATTGGTCTGGGCGAGGTATTGCGCGGCTGTCTTCGCTTGCGGCGGTTGTTGCATCGGAGCCCCGTTTGGCGGAGGGCGAACGGCTGCCGGCGCACCATAATGGTGCGGCGGCGCAAGAGGCCCCGCTGGCGACTGATGGGCCATGAGGTGGGTGAGAGGAGGGAAGTGTTTGATGTAATCTGGGAAGGGAGTCGTCAGTTCGGCAAGATCGAGCTTCCAGATCTTGTGACTTCCACCACCAACCTTTCCCACCAACCTCACCAGATCAAGCGATCGTCCAATCGCAAAACGATGACGCGGATGTCCAGCGGGCAACAGGGCGGCGTTTCGAAGGCAATCGCGCCCGGCAGAGAAGAGAGACGGGCAACGACGCTCCTCTGCTTGGGAGCGAGGAAGCACCTGATGAGGAAGACCAGCCAGCACAGGCGAGCACTTTCTGGCAGGCGGGGATAAGGGTTATGGAAAAGTGGGCCCTGGTCTTGTCCTAAATTGAGGACGCCTCGTCTGGGGCCGACGGCATGCAGTATCACACGGCTCACACACGCAGAGGAAGCCAGCAGCAGTCCCGACTCCCGACAACATGGCTTCCGATGCGCTCCTCATACAACGTCCGCCGATTGACGCTGGCGATGGCTCTTCTCTCCATGTATATGGCCATGCAAGGAGGATGCGTTGGCTGGCAAGCTACCAAACTATACCTTACCCGCTCCACACCATGCCGCGGTCGGGCTTGGTTCCCGCCGCTGAGTGGAACGCTTGTTGCGCTTGCTCATGGCAAGCCGCATACAGTGATCCTGCATGAGACACAAAGCCCCGATCATCTACAGCTTAGCTACTGCAGTGGCACATTCGCTAAAGCTCCGAAGGCTTGGGATGGGCGTGACGGTGCGAAAGCTGGCAGCGGGCGGGTGCATTACTCATAGCTAACCAAAGCCTGTACTGTACGCAAGCTGCTGTCAAAGGCATCAGTGTGCGGCAATGATGCAACACCTGCTGACTCCAGCCATCTGCAACCCCGTCACTTTCGTCTGTCCGTCGCAAATCGATGCATGGTACGCGCCCAACCAGGTCTTGCCTTGCAATCTGTCTTCAGCGCGCGAACAGCACAGAACAGCGTCGGTCCTCAGCGGTACACTCCTCTTGAATATATCTGGATTGGAGAGCGTGGCGGCCCCTGATGAAAGGCAACCAGTGGTACTGCGCTGGACGTGCTGCCGAAGTGGTCGCGTCACGAGCGCCCGTGCACGTTTCCGCAAGATCTGCCACTCAAACCAACGCCCTTCCAATGCCAAGCCAGGCTGAGGCTTGAGCGGCCAAGGCTCTTCGACGACGCCGTTCCAGCCCACGCCTGTTCTCCGGCCGAGGAATACTGGAGTGCGGAGAATGTTGAGTGGAGCACCCACCAGCTTCCGGCAGGTCCAGCTCACCTCGCGTGGCACCGCCATATACCGCTCGTCAATGTGGACGTTGTCAGCCATTCTCTCCTCACATATGTATTGCAGCACACCCTCAGCCCAGAACCCCGGCCAGGCTGTGGTGACCGGTTGGATGGCGACACTGCAAGCGCCATGGCGTTTCGTGCGAAACATCGCGTCCCTGAAGCTCATGCCCACTTCCAACGGCTGGTGGATGGCAATTTACAGCACACTGTCTGACTCGCCTCTCCCCACCAACTATTATTATTTTAGCTCCTCTCGTCACAATAATGCCGAAGGGAGAGTGCTGGAGAGTTTGACCGGGGATCTTTAAGCTTCTGCCACGCTGCACACAGCACAGCCGTTATCGATCTGACCAGCCCAGCCAGCCCAGCCCAGCACCCAGCCACAGATTCATTTCTCGGCTAATAAATACACATCCTGCTGTGCGCTCCCCAATTCGACGGCCAAGAGAGGTCCTTGGTACCAGAACATTGCGGCGGAGCGCCAGCTGTCCAATCGTGAGGTGAGAGCAAGCTTAGCTCGGTCGTATTAGGACAGTGCCCGAGGCTCTTCCAGGGCGGAAATGCGACTCGCAAGCAAGCAAGCAGATGCACGATTACATACCTCCGTCGACCTAGACATGTTCTTCGCTGTGCCTCCTGACATTTCTCACGTGCACCGATTTGCCGTGTGGGGGCGAACGCGAACGAACAACGACGGGAAGGGGTGGGGTGGTGGTGGCGGCTCGTTCGGATCTTGATCGCAGGACACCCGACCTGTCACTGCGTGACTTCAATTTCATTGTGGCACCCGCCCACAAGCATCCATCTTGCCATCATCATCAGTGAACGTGCACGCCGAGCCCCCTTGCAGCGGCAAGAGTCAACAGTTGTTCACTACATTATGTACAATTCAATTCGCCTACGGGAACGCGTTCCCCAGTCCAACTCCCATTATTATCTCTGAAGATCCAGTGCCGCCGAATAAAGCATAGCACAATCGCGCCACCCCTGGAGATGTCGCACCAGGCCGAAGCATCACACAATACACTTTTCAGGGATCAGCACGTGGGCCGGCAGCGTATACTGTATCCGCAAGCCACACTGGCCTGTGAACGTCAACAACATTTCAAATCGGTCGAGCGTTCGTGTTGCAAGTTGCAACCATCATCTTAGCGACTCGCTAATACCACAAAATGCAAGGGAGCTCTATCACACACCGGCCTTTTTATTTGTTCGTACTTTCATTTTCGCTTCTAATGTTGTTGCATCACCCGTCGCCTTGCTCCGCGTCATTCAGCAACAATGCAATGCTTGCTTTGCGCTTCACACGAAAATGCATCTCACCAAGCTTCTCCCGCCATGCCCATCTAAGCCTTTGTAGCCCTGCCAATCGCGATGAGACGTTTCACACCCACCTATTAAAAGCATGTTAGCCGTTCGCCCTCCTCTCATACCGATGAATTTGCTGCTGTAGGCCTGACTTACCATCCAATGCGTTCCTTCGCTTTCGAGCTTCGCCTGTTGAATCTCTGTAAACAGTGACTGTGCCTGATCCCATTCCTTGCGCTGCACGTGTTGTGAGATTTGCACCATTTGCTGCACAGTGTCAGCTTGCAACAGATCCTGGTTGTTAAGATGGTCAAAGAGAATGTCGATGCGCTTCGCCATGTCATCAACCTGTGGCTTGAAGCTCTGAGGCGCAACGGATCTAATTCTGGCAACTTCAGGCGCAAGCAGGTCAACAATCGGCTGAGCATTGCCAGGAATGTGTGATCTGTCTCCTCGCGGGTACTTGGCCTGGGCTGGAGCACTTTGTTGCTGTGCTGGCGCTGTGCTGGGTGGCGACTCAGTCTGCGGCGTTGGAAGTTGCTGCACGGGAGGAGCAGCTCCACCACCAATAGGCGTATTTGATGCGCGCGGAGGCCCTCGCGGAGGCGCGCTTGGGCCTGTACGAGGCGGAGGGCCTGTTTGTGCAGGAGCGCTTGCTTGAGGTGCTTGGCCATATGGCGACTGTGCTGCTTGCGGTGCATATGCTCCCTGCTGCTGTGTCTGGTATGGATTTGGAGCAACGTTTCTCTGCGGTGGCATTGCTCCGGGACCTGGAGTGGGATGGCTGCCGGGCGCAGGCGCATACCGACTCGAAGGAGCTGCTGTGGATGTTGAGGGCGGTGGCTGGTATGGCGAAGCACCGCGAGCTACAGGCGGAGGAGCAGGGCTTGGAAGAGTCGAGCCAACAGGTTGTGATTGTACGGGAGGTGCGTAAGCGCTGGCAAGAGAGGATGGAGGTCGCTGTATGCCTTGTGGAAGTGAAGTCCAAGGTGAGGCCACGCGGGGAGGAGCCTCGCCAGCTTTGGGCGGAGGTGGAAGTGGTGGCGTCGGCTTCTGAAGACCATACGCACTCTGTGGAGGTGACATAGGGTTCGGTTGAGCATTTGCAAACGGTGAGCTCACAGGCTGGCCAGGAGCCGGTGTGGCACGGCGTGTGTTTGCAGGGCGTTCCTTGACCATTCCAGTCGGCAGATCGTTCCAATCAGTAATGTTCTTCGCCTGCGATGGCGGCGGAATGGCGGGAGAAGAAGTGGCACCTCGAGGCGGGGGAGGGAGTGGTGCTTGCTGCTGCGGCGGCTGATAGCCTCCATAAGCTGGCTGACCATATGGCGTAGCCGCTTGTGGAGGCTGATACGCGTTGCCCATTGGCGTAGACGGCGCATACGGACTTTGAGCAGCTGGCGTTCCTATTGCGCCTGTTGGAGCGTATGGCGATTGTGTCGGTGCCGCGTTTCGAGCTTGGTTGACGAGGGGGTGTGGCGGCTGCAATGGTGCAGCTGGCTGTTGGAAGGAGGGTATTGGAGGCTGAGCTCGTGAAGTTGTGCGTTGGGTAACGGCAGCAGGTTGTTGTCGTACTGCGGCTTTTCTTGTCGCTTGCTTGACTCGCTGTTGTGCTGTTTCTGCGCCCGAAAATTTCGGCGGAATCAAATCGAGGTAGCGTTCAGCACTCGCAAGCTGGCCATGAGCGGACAAGATCTCGGCGTGTTCGGTGTACAGTGTGTACAATGGTGCGAGCTTCCAGTCTGCCGTGGCCTGGAGCTCAGAGTCATTGAAGTTTGCAACTTTGCGGAAGACTGACACCTTCTCGATGAAATCTTGCAGACACTTGGCGTGCACGGAGAAGACGTTGTCACTCTCAGACTTCTCAAGTGTCTCCTTTTCTTGCTCCTGTAGCTCTTCCACCCAATTATTGACGACCTTCTCCAGTTTCGCGCCCACAAGGTAGCAAAAAGAGGCGTCCTTTCGCAGACTCTTCGGACTGTCACCGGTCTGGTAGGCTTCCTCAAGGCGGTCACCCAGTACTTCACACAAATCGGGGAACTCTTTCTCATCAGCGTACGTGCACAGTGTTGCCATGACTTCCTTCCAATTGTCGATGTCAGCGTTGTGCACCACGTCCCAGAGGTTCTTGCCGACGATGCTTGCCAGCAAACGAAGATAATTGGGTCCCTTGGCTTGCTTTCTCAGGTATGCGGATTGAGCCTTGTCGATGCAGGATTGACCGCCACAGATAGCAATCATGAAGGCGTCCGACATACGGTCTGCTTCCAGACATACATCCAGTGCTGCTTCGAACTGACCGAGCATCAGCGCACGAGTGATGCGCTTATCGGCCTCCGACTCTGAGCCAGTGTAGATCTTGAAAGGGTTGTTGATCTTGGCGCCCTTTGATCCTGCCAAGTCTGCGAGGAAGCTGTCACCATCGCTATTGAAAAAATCATCATCCTTGGAGCCATTCTCTTTGGCATCACCATTCACGGTCAGCTTCTCGGTCGCATTTGCAAGCTCACTATCCGTTTCATCGAAGCCGAGATACTGCCGCAGCTGTTTTCTGGATTTGCCGGTATTGAGAGTGTTGATCACCTGCCAGTCCGCCTTTTCTTCTTCTGTCTCAGCAGCCTCAATCTTTGCGCTACAAATGCTGGCCAGATCGCCAGATCGAAGCTTCTCTTCAAACTTAGTTGTAGCCTCTCCGATTGAGCTGTCGACCTCGAATGTTTCAATCGACACCTTGTTCTTGCTCACTCTGATCAGTCTGCCACCAAACCCAAAGGAGACACTCGATGGCCGACCTGCCCACCTAGGAGCTTTCGGCAGGTTGAATGAGACTCCTTGAGGCTGCGTCTGCGCCTTTGCGAAGAAGTCCTCACCATCCAAGCCTTGTGTGGCAGCACCTTGCTCTTCAGCTTTGCCATTTGTGCTCTGTATCGACGTTACAAGGATTTTGCCGTCGAAGGAGGCACTCGCGATGAGATTGGGGTTATGTGGGTTCCACTTAGTTTGGAATACCCAATTGGATCCGGTAGCAAAGTCACCGTATCGTTCGCCGGTCCTCGGATTCCAGCAGATGGTGCGGTTGTCTTTGCCGCAAGACAGAAGCAGATCGGAGTCCTGCAAGCACCAGGCCAAACCAAGAACGCCCAGTTCGTGGCCCTTCAGCGTCCGCTCCGGCGCACTGCTGTTTCGCAAGCTCCAGAGGAAGATCAAGGGCTCTTGGTCATTAGGCGTAGCAGTTGCTAGCTTTGTGCTCTCGGTCGGGTCCCAAGCAACTGCACTGACTGCTTTGCGACCCTGGTTGTTCAACGTCATGATTTCTTTCTTCTGCTTGACGTCCCAAACGGTCACAAAGCCTCCACTACTGCCGGTCGCCAAGATATGTGCTGTCTTCTCTTGCTTATTCCAATCCAGGCACTCGATGTCATCGGCTCGTGCTGTACTAGCTCCCAATCGATACGGATTGGCCATGTTGCTCAGGTCGTAAATGTAAATCTCGCCCTTGGCGCCGACCGAGGCCAGCAGATTGTGTCTGTGTGGATTCCATTGCAGCGCCTTGACACTGCCGCTGTGTTTGGAAGTTCTTGAGATGAATGCGTCCGAGGATGCACTGCGCAGCTTTTGAGCGTCCCAGACATCGACTGAGCCATTTTCCAATGCTCCTGCAATCACACCCAGCGGATGCTCGTCATCTGGCTGGCTCCAGGCGATATCGTTGAAGGCGGAGTCGGTGGTGATGCTGCCAGCTGGCGACAGTTCTCGGTCGCCGCCCAGCTTCTCCAGGCTCAGTTCCCATAGCTCGAGCTTGACTTCGCTAGAGAAATCGTCGTCCACGGCGCCGGCTCGTGTTCCCGTGACAATGAGAGGTGCTCCAGCGCCTGGCGACCAGGCAAACACAGCGGTCCGCTCAATTTCCCGTAGGCGCACCATGGCGAGTTGTCGGCGATGTACTGATGCTGGCCTGCGCTTTACCTGGAGTCACACATGTGGAAAAGAAGAACAGGACAATCAGGAGTAAGAAATGGACACTGTGTTATCTTGAACAGTCCACCAAGTTGTTTAAGCCAGCTTGCTTTCTACCAAAATCCGCCCAAACGCTTGCTCAGTTAGGGAGGAAGGAATCCAGGGGTCCAGCGAACGTCAATACGCCTTGGCGTCACCCTCCGCCTCTTCAGACCGGGTCTTCACTTCACTTCACTTCAACTAATAAGCACGTGATAGCAAAAGGCACATCCTGGCACCAAAGCTGCCTCATTTTGAAGAAGCATAGGAATCAACATGACAGACACAGCGCGTCAAAAGAAGACTGTCTTCGTTGGCGGACTCGACAGTCAAGTCAGTGAGCAGACTCTTCACGACGCTTTCATACCTTTTGGCGAGATCGTGGATGTCTCACTACCGAAGCCAGAACTGTACGTTGCGAACACCCACGTATGACTGCAGGCTCAGTAAATTGATGTTCCTATTCAGAGCTTCCAACAAAGATCCTCATCGTGGCTTTGGCTACGTCGAATTTTCGCTGGCAGAAGACGCCCGAGAAGCCATCGACAACATGGATCAATCAGAACTCTACGGTCGTGTAATCAAAGTCAACCAAGCCAAACCTCAGAAAAATCCAGATGAAGGACTAGGTAGCCGGACCGCGGTTTGGCAACAGGTTCGTCGCACTACCACGCGAATTTGGTCATGGCCACCTGCTGACAATGTTTACAGGAAGGGTATGCTGCGAAGTACAACGTCGATGAGGAGGCCGATGCCAATGGTGATGAACAGAATGGCAACCCTCAAGATCCCATGCAAGGATTGGAGGGTCTTGCGGAAGCAGGACCGAGAATGCAGTGAATGGGTCTTTTGCGAGTGTTATGAAATGCCGCATTCTCGATTTAGCAAGGCGCTGGGGCGTTGGGCGGGATGGTTCACTGCTTTGCGCTTAGCTTGCTCACGATCAGTGATGAGCATATGCTCGGCTTCATATCCCCTCTCACTCAATGCTAGAGGGTTACCTTTGAAGTATCTGCATTCTTCGTCAACTGCATAAGGCCTTCCAATGGCACAACGTATTTGCCAGAATATTCTACCGTATATTATCTCAGCTAATTTCCCCTTTTCTTCAAGACATGTAGTCATACATGAGCGACTGGGTATCGTTCCACTTCAAGCACGTTCAGAAACATACTCTGCCAGACAATCTTTCTGTACACATATCCAAGCTTTTACTGAGCAGCTGGTGCTCCTCCTGCAGTTGCCGCACCACCGCGTCCGGCTGCCGGTGCCATTCGTCGGCCCCTATCCTTGTCGTCAGTATCACTGAAGCCGGAGGATGGACCAAGTACACTTACATGATAGTTCGGCTGAAGAAAGAGATACCAATCATGAATCTACAGCAATCGAAAGGTGCGAGGTCAGTATATGTATCAGCCAAAGTGCTTGCCTCGAACTCGTGTGACTTACGCCCAGGATGGAATCTGCGAAAAACCCCAGACAACATATCCAAACGGGATCGCGAGGTTGTACTTGGCCAATGGCCCGTCAAAAGGATGGAAAAAGCCTTCATATGGCTCAGTCTCGAGGTATTTCTCTTGCAGGTAGACTCTTGCAATTTCAGGTGCGGTGACTGTGGTGCGGTTGAGCTTGATCGAGCGCACGGTGGATGCTGGAGTTGACTGGTCCGGTAATGGTTGAGGAAGCTGGAAGTAGTACAACGAAGGTGGGCTCACGGCCCATGCGTGGCACAAAACGCCATCCGTTTCGCAGTTGATCACTCCAAGTTTGGGAGGCTTTGGAGCAGCTGCGAGAAGAGGCACAGACTCATTGAACGCGGTCTCAGCTTTCGTACACATTCCATAGCAGGTCTTGTTTCCTCCAGTCACGAAGACCATCCAGGTCTCAATGCCGGGCTCTGCATTTGGATGACCGGGCCTCACTATCTCATTATAATTGCTGATATTGAGCTTCTCAACGTTGAGCTTGGCAACTTTCGCAGAAGCCGCTGCTACTGGGTCGGGGATCTTGGGTATCGATGCGGACTCGGTCGCCTTCTCCACGACAGATGCGACCGATGAGGTCGCTTTGGCAAACCAGCCCTTAACTTCGTCAAGGAAAGGGATCTGTTGCGCGGTTGCCAGCGGCAGAGCGAGGAGCAAAGGCGATGTGCGCATAGCGACGGCGAGGTGTTGTGGATCGAGAGCCGGCACGGCCGTGTAGGGCAGCAAGTCGCGTAGGTGACAGCTGGAGGGCTGATTAAGGAGCTATAAGACCGCGTTGTGTTAGAGTTCTGCGCGATTGCGACAATGATTGGGGCCCAGGCTTACAGTGAAGTAGCGGTATTATGGAATGCTATGAACACAAGGCAAATTGAAGTGTGGTGGTACAGGAGAGGGAAAGCAGTGGAGAAAGAAGGGCAGAGAGTTCCAAGTTACAAGGGCCATGTGGTTGCTAGGGCACCGAATGGGGTTTAATGCGCAAAGCACGTGTCAAGATGGTATTGTTCTTGGCTGCTTGCTTTCCCTCGCTCATTATTATTCTTCCGGCTCTCGCAGAGCACATTGAGCAACGCTGCAGCTTCTATGATGCTGATCACATATCAGGATGCACGTGACTAGATTTTCGGACTAGCTGTGCTGTCCTGCAGTCCAGCAGGTGATACCACCATCCACACGGCCTCTAACGCTGAAATGCCAAGATCAGCCGACGGTTCCAGACTCTTTACTGACAACTGCAGAGTCCTTGCGATTGCCACAATCTTTGTGTAACGACGAGACCACCTCGCCCATGGGCATAAGTATCCTGTCAGATGCACTGGTGTTCGAGCGACTGAGAACGGAAACAAGCCGAGACAAATACAGCCGGTTCTCCGATACCCACTGCTCGAGGATCTCCGTTGCTCCATCGATAGCTGCCTCTTCCGCGGCTTCATCTTTGACGCGCTCTTCGATCTTTCTGACAAGGCTGCCCAATGCATTCTCGAACGGAAGGCCGAAATGATTGAGCCTGTCCTGTACAGTGTCACTATGTCGTTTGCAGGATAGTATTTGCCCGGTGCGCGTACCTCTAAGAATGAGCTTTCCCTGCATGAACTACTCAAGCTCAACTTGCATGCAGTGCTTCCGTAAGGTACCTGTACGCCACCCATCGGCACTATGCCATAGTGCTCAAGCTGCTTCACGAGCCTGCTTAGTTGTTGCCGCGAGTTGATTTTCCAACGCTCTGCCAGAGACATTGTCTCCGTAATGCTAGTTGGATCATCAGCGAACTGAACAAGGTCATTGGCAATGTCGTCAAGAGCGTTTTCCAGTTCGTTGCCTAGTTGATTGAGCATCGCCTATTGCTGTCAGCCTGCTAAATAGTGTTGCCGAGAGGAGCGCCACGTACCATGAGCATCTGTAGTTCCGGGTTTAAGAAAAGAATTTTGTCCTTCTCATTGGTCTTTTTCTGCTTGCCTTGCTTTCGATTTGTCCGCACGACCTCATCTTGAAGAAGGGGCGTCGGGAGTGGGCTGAAGAGGAAGACATCCGAGCAGAGCCGAGAGGGGCTCTCATCGCTGCTCTCGATTTCCTTTCGTGCGTTCTTGCTGGGTGCCTTCTTCTTCGCCGACTTGGGCTCTTCAGCAGTGGAAGTAGGACTGTCGGTTTGGCGAGATTTGCGCTTCTTTCTAGCTGTTTCGCTCGTGTGGGCAGACGGAACATTGATCTGTCCATTCGTAGGCTCGATCGATGGGGTGTGCTTCGCGCATGATTCTTGATCGGCAGCTGCCGCAGCATCGAACTCCGCAATCTTTCCTCGCAGCAGGGCTGCTTTGTGGGCCTGTTCCTCGGCTGTCATAGCTGAATGCCTAAATATCTTGCGTGGACCTCCTCCAAGATTTCCGGGGCTTATCGCGCTGGCACTGTCTTGACAACTCTGGACAATATCCTTGTCTACGCCTTCCGCGAGAACAGCTTCTTCGCTATCAATCTGAGCAATATGGGGTAGACTACTGGGCAGTCTCTTTTGCGACAATGCCCAATGTTTGGGCGACGGTCGACCGTCGTCGGCTTCAGTCTGGTCATGGTTGGTACGAGGGAGAGACTTGCTGGACAGCGCGTAGTGATTCACCGTTTCTGCAGTTGGTCCAGGAGCAGTGTCGAGGCGAGGTAGAGACTTCCAAGATTGTCGATAGTGGTCGTCAACGGACCTTGCATCTTCCTCATCAGCAGTGGTGTGAGTAGCATCACTTTCATCGGCAAGATCATCACTACAGATCGCAAAGTCGCGGACGAAATCCGCCTGCGTTGCTTTCGTCGTCTGTATAATCATTGCACGCCCAATTGCCCATTGAATTGTACGTATTATCGGAGAGCGTCTTGGTCGTTGACTTGCAGTGTCACACGTCGTATACTGTCAATCCTTGGCCGCGTGACGGTTTGTTGATGTCTGGTGACTCAAACGTGCCTTCGCAACGCTTTTATAGTGAGGGCGTTTGTCGATCTCAGATGAAAGTAAAGACATATTGAGCTTCTAAACCCTTTCTGAGCGAAGCGGCCGAAGTCTCCACTGGGACCAGAGGGCTTGCTCTCCTGAATGCTATTGTCGATTTGAGGTAAGAGCAGCAGTTGCTGACCAGACCAGACTCAGTGCTGCGCTCTTGAAAGAGTAGCCAAGAGGCAGCAATAGCGCTTCTGCTTCGCTTGACTCTGAGAGCATGAAGGGCATATGACAAGCGCATAGCGCGATATGTGTAGGCCGGCATTGCTGCGAGCGCTATTCTCGTAGTGAAGCGACGTGACCGTCTGATCATGTATCGCAGCGTTGTCCAAGACGGCTGATCGACTGGTCATAGCAAGCACTAGCTTCGCCGTTCTTCTTAGCGCTGTCTGCACCAATCTCTGCCATGCTTGACTTGCCAGGCGCACAACGCCGTCTCCATACCTGCTCCAAGCAGACCGGCACAGAAGATGCCTGCGCTATCCGATACAGTTACAGCTCCAAGCGAGAACTCACGCTCGTCTTCTGAAACCTCTTCTCTGATTGCAGCAAAAGTCGAGACATAAACCAGGCCTCCTAGAAGTCCTTCCCACAATATTATGGCGAAGACGAACCAAACAGTCGGGATGAATGGCGATAGTGCCTGTGCTGTAAGTACCGCGAGGTTGAGCACTTGCAGCCAAGTCGGTATGTAAAGGCTGCGTATGCGGACGAATGGCAAAGATGAGCGTGAAATGAAGACACCAAGCTGGTAAATGGTGCCATATGTCGGATAGAACTCTCGGTAGCGCTTGAAAGGAGAGCTTTCAAGCGGAAAGAGTAACGTGGGGGCAACTCCTTGGTTGATAGTGTATTCAGCCAGGTAGACCAAGAATAGCGGAAGCATATATGGTATGACCAGCGACTTCGCGCGGATGAGCTTCATTTTCAAGTCGTGAATTGCCAAGCTGAATCGATCAGCCTTGTAAGCTGGAGATATCGATCTTCGTGGCGGCTCATCTGGCAAGCCTGACTGCGAAGTCATGATTGGATCGAGATCATCGTCTTGTTCCTCAGACTCCACGCGATGATAATTGGATTCCTTTCTCTCGGCAGCATTGAGAGGCCCGAGGGGGAGAACAAGGAAATAAGTAGCCAGCATCACGAATGAGAGAACCACGCTGCACAGTAAAGTAGTATGCACGCTCAGGCCCAAAGTAGTGGTGGCGAGCGTATATGCTCCTGCGCCTAATAGCCCAGCGGCACCCGTGCCAGAACCCCATGCTGCCAGACTGAAAGGGCCGTAATAATGCGACAACGCCAGAAAGTTCACTTCGCCAGCACCCGAAGAAATGTTTGCCAGCACAATACCTGCGATCTTACTGGAGATGCCTGCGGCGTCTGTGGTATTCGGCGAAAGCGCAACAGCTAGCATGCCGCAGGTTGCAAAGCCAACGAACAAAAGCACCCGCAACGAATAGGGTATCAAATGAATGAAGTATGGGGTGACTGGAGTGGTAGGCAGAAGTGTCAGCGGGTGTGTGAGACGTTCGCCGTACGCCGTGCACTTGTAGCTTTTCTCACCTATCTTCGTCGCCAGGCCAGGGATGATGCAGCTCAATAGGACGGTGGCCTTTGGTATCGAAGGACCCACGAGGTCCAGGGCTGCAGTGAGGATTATCACGTAAAAGATGTTGTTGATCAAGCCTGTACGAGTCAGCGATGAAGCGGTGCAGTACGGGGCAGGCTACGATGATGCCAGCCATACCAAAGAGCCAGAAGGCGATGCAGATTCGAACTGATGCACCCTCGAAGTTTGACATGATCCGCGCGCGGTATAGGCGCCATGACGACTGTGGGCTTCCCGGCATGGGGAGCATGGTTTACGGGCTACGGGTAGTTGTCGTGCAGAAATGAGAGCATGCCGTGGAGGAAGCTCGAAGCTGCGGACGATGCTGGAGCATCCAAGGAAGAGTCGTGGCGTGGCCCTGCCGACGATAAGAAGGCACGTGCGAATTATTGAAGTGAGAGCGCCGGGCTGGGCAGAAAGCACTGCAGCCAGGGCCCAAAGCAGCTCCTACGGACCCTAGAATACCGTTGGCTCTGCAGGCTTGAGCCGCGCTGGGGCATGGCCAGGGATCCTGCGCGAAGGGAGAGTGGGAGCTTCCGTCCTGGCGTTCTGTCGATCGCTGGAGTTTCGTCTTGCCTTCCTCCTGTTGTGCCTCTGCAACAGTCGACTACAACCCTCACAACTGAAACAACCGCACCTCTCGCTATGATGGGCCTTTTCTACACCGACTAGCACCGACCAGCTGCTACCCCAGCCATGATCCCTAGCATCTGGCGTCTCGTGAGCACGCGAAACGAATGCGCATGCCATCAGCACCTCTGAGCAACTGATCACACGGCGCGCGGGGGTCAATCATGCATCGCAACCCGTTCTCGCGTCCGCAAGAGCGACAGGTCGGCCAGAACCAAACCGCACCGCCGCCTTCGAGCCACCCGTCGCCATTTCCTCCCCCCACCGCCCAACCGCCCGTACAGATGCCCTTTTCGGATCCGTTTTCGACCCATAGAGACCCGTTTCTCCCGCGCGCTGGCAGCAGACGAGGCAGTACGGGCCCTCCCTCGAGGGGATGGCCTCCCGCGCAAGGTACGTTTCCAATTCTACAGCACAAACTGCCCCGCCCAAGTCACCAGAGGCAGAGCGGGTAGCTGGCTTGCTTCCACTCGCATGGCCACAGCTGGCTTCTCGCTACACTACACCACTTCCCATCGTGCCAAGGAAGCGCGCTGGGAGGCTGCATGCACGACACGAGAGCAGCGCTCACGAGCTGCAGCTCAGACGGAGCGACGCCGGGCGGCAGTGACAAGTTCAGGTACCTGATGAGGGTGTGCTGTCATTGAGCTGCACGTTGGCCGCTGCGCGATAATCGGCGTGCCGAGCAGGGCTGTCTGGTGACGCCGTCAGCGCTGCACTGCAGCGTACTGCTTTGCGCACCGCAACGGAGCCTGCCAGCGCTGTCTCTCCGCTGCTGTCGCCGTCACCGCTACGCAATGCGACGATGAGATGGTTTCGACAGGGCCCTGCCAAACTGCCTGGGTGGGCCTGGAACAGAAACACGCATCCCGGCCGTGACATGATCAGTGCACAGACTCCGAAAATCTAGCCCGACCCCACTGTCTCGAACTAGCGCATATCGCCCAGCTAGCCCAACCTTATTATGCCAGCCAGCTCTCCCAAGCTCTGCGATGATCGCTGACAGAGTCTTTCTGCAGGAAATGTGAACAGCTCGCCGCAAGCCCAACCACACCACCACCACCTCTCGCAGCCATCTCACACGCCCACCCAGGGCCATTCTCTCCCGCCTCCACCGCCAGGTAATGGCATGTCGTCGATGCCGCCGCCCTACGATCCGCTTCGGCGACGATCGCTGGGCAATGCCGGCAGTCCTCCCCAGCAAGTAGGAGGTGAGTGGGCGAGAAACAGCTGATATGGGAAGTGTTTGGAAGCTCACAAGTCTCGCTGTAGCACCTCTCGAGCCGCCGCCGCCTCCGCCGCCGCCTTTCTCTGCACGCAACATGCCTCCTCCATCTTCGCCGCAGAATGCGCCATCTTCTTCACTGCATCCGGGCGCGGGAGCGCCTCGAGGACCTCCTACGACTTCGCCGTTTGCAGGAGTACGCGACCTTGCAGGTAGTCACCATCGCCCTGGGATGTCCATTTCCGCGATCCTGGGTGGAGGAGAGGAGCGCAGACTGCACGAGTCTCCACACAGCTTGCATGCCGGGCCAGCGCAGACTCCCAAGCCAATGCAGCCAACTTCTCCAGGAAGAGCTCGGTCGTATAGCAATCGAGAGGGCGGAGAACGTGGCTACAACAAGTCAAGTCCTCCACGACCTGGAGTCTTTGGCGAACCAGCAAGAATCGGATCGGAGCCGAGAAGAGACGGTACATTTGGATCACCCCAATTCCGTCGCGAGCCTCAACACAGCTTCCGGGCGTTTCAGGCGCCGATGCAAGAGCATGTACACCACTTGAATGGCCACGGCGCGCCTGCTCGGCCTATCAGCCAGCCTGCTGAGGTCGAGCGCCCGGGTGGCATGCAAGAGCAGCGAGAGCCAATATTCGACCATAGGACTGGTGGCTTTCGATCTGCTGCGGAGCACCTACCACCAAGAAGTGCGGAGCCACCTAGGACAGAGCTTCACAGACACGAGCGGCCGCATTTTCCTCACAATGGAATCACATCACATCCTCAAGAGCGACCTTCGTTTAGCAGTCCTCAGATGGAGCGCGAGAGGAGCAATCAGGGCGCCATGCGCTATCCTTCCGGACCTGGATATGGAGTTCACGCAAGAGAAGAACAAACAGCCCTGTTTAGACCGACATATCCGCCCACCTCGCACCCAGCCCCGGAACCTGCGAGAGAGTCTATCGAAGGTAGAGCGGCAGAAATGCGAAGACAAATTTCACGTCATTCGCCAACAGTCGGAGAGCTGGGCGGGTATGAGAGGGGGCGTAATGGTTTCCACGAGCGGCCCGTGACGCTGGAAGAACACCAGAGAATGGAGACTATTCAACGTGAGCAGCAGCGCAAGGAAAGCGAGAGCTCAATGCACAAAGCAATTCTCAACATCAGTCCTGAACTGAATCGTCGCGGCCGGAATTCGCCATTGCCACAAGCAGTCCAGGGAGCGCAGCCTAGGCATATTGGACCTGGCGGCGACAACCCGGGAATCAAAATGGAGTTTGGTCGCATGTTCTCCGGGCTTGGTTCTGGCGTGGGTACAACCCCAGCACCCTGCCATCCCATCAATGGCACCACGACACCGTCTCGCATGAGCCCAGCAGCACGCCACGTGGAAAGCGGCGATCTCGTTAGATCAGCTGCGGCCGAGGTCACCGAGCAACGAGCAGCCAAGTCGGGAACGAGACTGGGAAGAAAAAGCGGACGACGTTCTCGCGACGAAAGTGACGGCGTTGAAGGACGGAACACTCCCGATCCCCAGCGTGGTACGAGCAAACGGGCGAAGACTATACACACAAGTCACCATCACCACCATGTACACCCGCATCATCACCATCACCACCACCATCACGATGGAACCGAGGCTCCGGGAGCTTCTAATATGCTCCGCAACCCTTCAAATCCCTTATCGCACGCAAACCTGATGGCCAACCAAGCACACCACCATCATCATCACCATGCGCATCCTGTTGGCCATCACCATCACCACGCGCCAAGGAGCGCGCCCGCGACAAGGAAGCCGGCGACGATTGTGCAGAATAAGAGAGTTCTGGATGAAGCTGCTGGAAAGCCGCGTAAGCATTTGGGTACGCAACTATACACGACTGAATTGTCTCCTGCGCCTGCAGCAGAAACAACGGCCGATTCCAAGATCAAGTTTAGCAGCAAGATGAAACCCATACCAGTCTTCGCGGAAAAAGAAAACTGCACATACACTGTTCGGGTACCTCGGTACTACCTGTCTTCAAGCCTTGCGCGAGCAAAAGAATCGTACAGTTTCGAGGAAATTTGCAAGCGGCGCCAAATTTGGGGTACAGACATATATACAGACGACTCCGATGTCATAGCTGCTGCAGTGCATTCTGGCTGGATCAAAGGCGACTTCGGCGAATACAACGAAGATCTCAACGAAGTGTTCGGCAATGATTCCGACAATGACGGTCCGGAGGAGTCGCCACTATCTCTAGACGCGAAACCAAGAAGGCCAGTTAAGGTACCAGAAGGCTTCGATGCCCACATCACAGTGCTGATCCTGCCGGCTTTGGAGTCTTACGGAGCCACGAATCGACACCATGTGTGGTCTCGGGAGTGGAAGAAGCACGATGGCATGTCTTACATGATTCATAGCATTGAATTTGTTGACGAAGGCGAGATGAGCCGATACGCAGAACGCAGCGGTGCGGCTCGCAAGCAGAGGATCGCTCTAGAGGAGGCAGCTCGCAGGGAAGCAGCGGCTGGGCTGCTTATGTTTGCGAATGCAGCAACCTCTCGCGTCCAGGTCGGAGCATAGGATGATGGCTCGCGTCTCCTAACCTTAAGTGGCGCTGACGAGACACAGAAATGGAATATGTATGCCGCATCATCACGAAGCAATCTTATGTCAACCATGCAAAGAGTATCCTGCTCAATAGACATCTGCTGTGGAGCATGGATGAAGATATGAGGAGATGGCTCTCATATCAAATTACGAGTCGCCCTCCATGTTGCCCATCCGGTGTCTCGTTTCGCAATTACAGAGTCCTTCCATTCGGTGATGTTCTTCCGCGTATCGACCAGAACCAAGTTCGAGCCCATGCACAATGCCCCGCCACAGCATGCGAATAAATCTCTGTAACGAGAATCGATGGTTAGCAATCATCGCACTTCTAACAAGCGAGGGGTCCGCTCACCCAAAGGCAAATCCAATCTTCATCTCAATCAATGCCACCTTGTTCCTGACATCCTTCGTAGGTAGCTCTGCATACATAAGCGAAAGATGGGGACGATATTCACTCTTCGCGAAATGGTCAGCCTCTAGACCAGCTGCCTGTCGACAGACAGCCACAAGTTTCCTCAGATTCTCATTCTCCTTGAGCGCGATGTTCAATTTCCGGAAGAATGGATCTTCGGCTTCTACTGTATCGAGCTCGAGAAGGACTTCATTGTGCTCTTTCTTGAAGTCTGATGGAAGCTGAAGACTTTCAAGCCATTCTTGAGGTTGTTTGCCTTGAAGAGCTTCTTCTGGGATATCAGAGGTTATTGTTACATGTGGTGGAAATGCATGTGGATTTTCCAGGTCGAATTGTTTGGGCACTGTCTCGGAGATGAGTTCTTGTGTTGTTTTTGTGAAAGGACTATTGTCGTAGGGAACGAGCCAGAGTGAAAGACCCGGCATGTCGACGAATCTGAGAACAACACAATCTCGAGGGAGCGCTCCTTTGATGTCCTGGGGTGCTTCTAAGGCTGGGGTTATTCGAAGAAAGTGACATGGGTGGTGAAAGGTGCTTGTTCCACATGTCCGAGCTGAGGGGCCCTGCCACAATCGGCAGGGCCGCGGGTAAGTGAATGACTAATCCCGAAGCCGCAGAGCCGCAGATATCTGTATGTCTGGTCTGGAAAGGGCTCTCTGTAATTGACGGCTGATAAGTCTGTCACGCTGCACTTGCTCGATGACGGCTCTGGAGATTCTTGTCAGAGAATTTGCTGGTGTCAACCTACGTCAGCAGCGAGCTCAAACATTCTTCCAAGCATGCCGCTCATTCAGCACACGACTTTCGCTGCGACGCCCGGAAACAAGCAGTGTAGCTCAAGCACAGGGAAACGGCTCAGCTGAAACGAAAACCGGATCCGCGGAGCATACAGCAGTACCGAGAACGAAAGCGCAAAACCGCATGCTACGCAAGTTGAAACGCATCGAAGAAGGCAAATTCGCCGCATCAGCATCAGAAAGAAGTAGACACGCCAATGCTTTCAGATCAAATACGCAGGCGCCTCTGGCTGTTGCTGGAGCTCAAGACAATGCTGCATCCGCGCTCGAGGAATACTCCCTACGGACTCAAGAGACGGAGTCGCAAATGAAAAATGTGATTGAGAAGATCGGCCAGTTGGAAGGACCTTCGGTCGTCAAGCAGCAAGCCAAAAGGAAGCAACGTCTGGTTGAGAAAATTTCAGAGAAAAGAAAAAGACGGCAAAGAGAAAAGGTGAAAGAACTCTTGGAAGAGGCGCAAGAAAAGAAGGAGGAGGAAAAGAAGAAGAAGCTGCAATTTATCAAATCAAATGAGCGATGGAAAGTGGAGAAGCATGCGCTTCAGAAGAAATTTGGTGAGACTAGTTGGCAACCACGGAAACGACTATCACCCGACTCGCTAGAGGGTATTCGAGCGCTACATTCCTCAGACCCAGCCACATACACAACAGCAGTCCTCGCTGCCAATTTCGAAGTTTCGCCCGAGAGTATTCGCCGCATTCTTAAGAGCAAATGGAAGCCAAGTGAGGAGCAGCGAGCGGCGCGGATGGCAAGATGGGAGAAGCGAGGCGTCAAGAAATGGGAAGAAATGGCGAAGCAGGGCATGAAGCCTCCTAAGAAGTGGAGAGTGATGGGTGTGTCGAATCCCAAAGTCGTGGCGAAAAAGCGATGGCAGGATAAAACACAAGGACCTACTCCGACCAGGCAAAAGCAGAGAAAGCGTGCTGCCACAGAAAATGATCGCGACTGGAGAACACAGCTGAAAAACGCTGAAAGCCCTCAAGATATCATGAATCTTGCAGAGAGGATTATGTAAAGCATGAGGATCCATATGCACGTTGAGCGGACCGCCTTCCAAGCAGAGCATCTGGCACGGGTACGATGGTTACTTTCAATTCTTAAAGGCAAAGATGTTTGGAGTGGAAGTATGTTGAAAATGTGTTATCATACGGGCTTTGCTACTCCATCCGTTCCCGGAAGGATTTCTATAGGAAGGCCAACGGACCGCAACTTCTGACGATCGCATCACCCCGCTGCTGACACTCAAGACCCGCGAAGCATGCACAATCTTATTTCATACATGTTTTCAAGCGAGCAATCCCTCGTCTGAAGAGCCGAGTACAATGGCATTTCGTACATCGTGCCTATAAAATTCAACTCCCTAAAAGGTTTCGGAACAGTTTTATCTCCTCAAGTCTTTGCAATAATAGACCCCAGAATCATGCTAGAACCCATTGCGGATGCCGCAATTTGGCAACTAATTCTCTTCGGTGCCATCGCCTGCACCATAGCCTACTACGCAAGCATACGATATCGCCCAGGCCTCAGGAAGCTACCCGGCCCATTTCTTGCCTCAATCTCGGATCTAGACAGGATATGGAGCTGTGCGAAAGGCCTTCAAATGCAATATCATATCGCCCTGCATCGCCGATATGGTCCTTTCGTGCGGGTAGGACCCAATCATGTCATGTTCTCGGATGCGAGCTTGATTCCTCGGGTCTATGGGATCGCGAGCAAGTTCTGGAAGTCCGACTTCTACGTCCCATTTGACGTCAAGACTCCGAAGGGCATCTTACCAACCGTGTTCAGCTCGCGCGATGAATACGAACACAGGTATGATGATGTTCAATGAACTTGGGTATCTTTATGTTTATGATTCGAACAAGCGTCTCAGGGACATGCGACGGCCGATTGCTCATGCCTATGCGCTGAGCACGTTAAAGGAACTTGAGCCGATGAATGATGCCTGTAGTGAAGTACTTCTGAGAAAATTCGATGGCATGGTTGGCAAGGAGGTCGACCTTGGGACCTGGGTCCAGTACGTCGCTACATTCTTCCATTGTGAGGATATCACATTGTTAATTTGACGTAGCTGGTACGCATTCGACGTGATCACTTCGATTACCTATAGCAACACCTTGGGTGAGAAGAAGAATACCTAGGGCGGCAATCGCCGCTTCCAACACTTGCTGACTCTCCCTCTTTCTTCATCCAGGCATGATGGAACAAGAGCGCGACATTGAACGAATCATCGAGTCCATCGAAGGACGACTCGTCTACAACAGCGTTATAGGACAAGCACCATATCTCCACAAATATCTCTTCGGCAACCCGTACGTCAGCAAGATGGCGAATCTCATACCCGCCATCGCCGTCATGAACACTTCCAAATACATCGTCGCCTTTGCAGCAAAACAAGTCCAACGATACTACTCGGATGAGCCCAAGACCTTCGAACTCAAAGACATGTTATCAAGGTTTAAACGCTTCAAAGACGAAGAACAGCTCATCGACGATTCTCTCATGATCAGCCATTCGGCTGGCAATATCTTCGCGGGCTCTGACACGACTGCTGCCTCGCTTCGCTCAATCTTCTACCAGCTTTGCAAACACAAGACCGCACATGAAAAGCTGCTTTCGGAAATCGATGCCGCGGATCGAATGGGAAAGCTTTCTGATCCCGTGACATTCGCCGAAGCGCAGGAGCTGCCATACTTCCAGGCTGTAGTCCGTGAGGCGCTTCGACTGCATCCTGCTGTGGGATTACTTCTTGAACGCGTGGTGCCCAAGGGTGGAGCAGAGATTGGTGGCGTGTTCCTGCCAGAAGGGACGATCGTGGGTGCAAACCCTTGGGTGATGGCTCGGGACCCGAGTGTGTATGGAGAGGACGCAGATGTGTTTCGGCCAGAAAGGTGGTTGGAAGCTGATGCGCAGAGATTGAAATTGATGGAAAGAAATGATCTTTCGGTAAGTACCAGTGTCGTGATTGCGGAAGCGAATGAGAACTTTCCGCTGACGACTTCGCTCCCATACGCAGTTTGGTGGTGGCGCCAGGACGTGTCTGGGCAAGAATATCAGCGTGCTGGAAATTTCGAAATTGGTACCACAGCTGTTGCGGAAATTTGATTTCGAGCTCGCAAATCCTGATCAGGAATGGACATTACATGATTACTGGTTTGTGAAGCAGACTGGGCTGATCTGCAGA